TGTGGGCTGTGGGGAGGACAGCCAGCCTGGAGCCTGATGGGAGATCCTTGACAAGTCCTGCCACGCGGCCTTAAGCAAGTCAATTCCTTGTTCTGGTCCTCAGTTTCCCCTTCAGGATAGTCAGGAGCTTTGGCCAGGTAACCCCGGGAGCCCGCTTGTGCCTGATGTTGTAAAGATCTCCTCTCCTGCCCCACTCCTCTTGGCCCTCAAGACCAGTCCTACGGACTCTGAAAGCCTCAGCACGCAGGCCCCTGTTCCATGGCAGCAGGCCATGGGCAGGCCCAAGCTGTGCCAGATCCCTGCAAGGGGCTCCGCTGGGAAGTGCGGAGCAGTGAAAATGGAGAGGCTCTCGTAGTGGCCCCTCCACCTCAGTCAGGGGACACCGGAAACCAGTGACCAAGTCTGAGCCCCAGAGTGGGAGGCAGCCCTTCCCCCACAGGCAGCTTGTTCTGCGATCAGGGCTTCCCCTCCAGCCCCAAGCAGGCTGGGCCAAAGGCCAGTCAGTTTAGGGGAGAGGCCTCAGTCAGATGCAGCCCTCCAGAGGCCGGGCCTGGCTCCAGAGGGCTCCGAGAGAAAAGTCCCAGGAGGAGGAAGCCAGCCAGAATCCCCGCCGCCTTCTGCTGGCTCCACATCCCCCTCAGTCCACCTCCACTTCGCTGTCTGTCAAGTAGAGAAGCACCTTCTCCGGCACCCCTTCCTTGGAAGGATCTGAGGGCTTTGGAGCCAGACATCCTTTTAAACCGAGGTGCCCGTGACCCTGTTAAGTGCCAGCCACCTCTGTCTAATGCTGCCATCTCCTTTTTGGCTTCTTTCTCAAGTTGTAATCTTTGCAGGATTAGGACTAATGTCAGTCTCCTCCTGGAACATTCTACAATGCATCTGGCCACTGACCACTGGCGAAGTTCTCTGGGTCACAGGCAACAGACAGAAATGACAAGGAAACCAGGAGAAAGGGAGGGCCAAGCCACGCGAGCATTTCCTCGCCCTTCAGAAAGCTGAGGCTTTTCTTACCCAGCGAGCCTCCTAGGCAAGGGCACGTGCATGCGTGCGCGTGTGTGTGCGCGCATGCGCGTGCGTGTGCGTGTGTGTGCGTGCGTGTGCGCATGCATGCGTGCATGTGTGTGTGTGCGTGTGCATGTGCGTGTGTGTGTAAGAGAGAAAAACTGCAAGGAGAGACATAAGGACAGCAAGCAAGAGAGAAAAGACCTGGTGTGTCTGGGCCAGGGGGACGCCTTTGGTTCTGAACTCAGAGCTGACTCAGCAGCACATAAACAAGACACAGCAGCCTGACTCCTGCCCTGGCCACTCTCGCCCATGAAGTCTCAGGAGGGCAGACTGAGCAGCTGCCATCTCTTCTTCCCAAATCTAGAGCAGGCAAAAGAGCTATCTGCCTAGTCAGACTCAGCTGAGAAAGACGGGGCAGTCTTCATCCCAGAAATAACCAAAAGGCCTCCAAGAAGTGGGTGTTCAGCCACTCTGCCCTCAGGGTGCTCCCAAGGTGAGAGAGAGAGAGAGAGAGAGAGAGAGAGAGAGAGAGAGAGAGAGAGAGAGAGAGAGAGAGAGAGAGAGAGAGTCCCCTGGGATTCTGGGAAGACAAAGGGGAACAGAGATGAAACATCTTCAGCAGGGGTAGCATAGAACAGCTCGGTCCTTGGCAGGGGTCTGGTAGTGTCAATGCAATGACCAGGAATGGGGCCTGAGGGGGCCCTGTCAGGATCCTGGCAAAGCCTCATCTCACTCCACTCTGTACCCCTGAAAAAAGCCACATTCAAAGGATATTCAGGAGAGACGATGTGTTTATTGTAGCAATAGATCCAAGCAGTAAGACAAAGTGCAGAAGAAAGTCCGCTCCAAAAGCAGACACACCGCACACTCAGGTCACAGAGGACTGTTCGAGTCCTTCTCCCCAGCACCTCTTCCAGCCACGCACAGCACATAAAGCCCAGAAAGTGCAGAAGTTGTTGGGTTTTCCCCTCCAAGTGCACAAAGAACATGACATGATTTGCCTTTGGTGAACCAACTTAAAACACTGAGAAATGATTGTTCCCCCGCCCCCAGCCCAGTGGAACTTTTGGGGTGGATGTAGTGAGATGTTTTATATTTGTATATGTAATATACCTATACCTATATATAGACTATGTACAAATGCGTCAGCAAGCTTCAATAAAGGAAGACATAAGCAGGAGGCACAGTAAGAGACAGGCTGTCTATCCTCAAGACATAAGTAGGAAGGAAAATTCTTGATGCATCACCCATTCCAACGGCTCCAAGCCATTTCCATGGCCTGGGACTATCTTTTGGACCTGGCCAGTATTTTCCATTGTCCTGCTGCTTAACCTGACCTTGCAAACACTTATCAGCCCACCTCCCCAAGGAGATTCATAGGGAGAAATATGGATCCAACCAGCTTTTCCTTTTTATAAATTGGGAATAACTGGGATTAGTCCAGAGCTAGGGGGCAGATGGCTACTTCCAAAGCCAGTTCCAAGGCACCTCAAGGCATTTCAGTCCTGAAAAATGGTACTCTGTTCTGAGAAGCTCCATCCCATGGGTTGGCCAGCCCATATCTTTTTACAGTGGCCCTTAATTAGAAGGAAGAGACAGACAGACAGGGGGTTCTGAGACAGCGGGAGAGGCAGCGGCAGTCGAGAAAACCAGGACTGAACCCAGCAGTGCGGTGACCCGGACATGCAGCCCGAAGTGGGGCTTGACCCCCACGGTGCAGGAAAGGGAGCAGTTTGCTGGCATAAACTAGAAGCAGGGCAGAGCCACAGCTTGCTGACTTCCCACCTCTTCTCACAGAAGCCCCATTTTTTTCCCAGCCTCACTGCCTGGGGGAGGCAGCTCTCTGAGATCTCTGGCAGAGTCTCAGAGGCTTAAGAAGGAGTGCATTCGACGGTGGGCACCTGGGGCAAAGGCAGTTCCTGGCTCATCCCCATCTGTTCGGGCTCCTGAGGCTCCTGGGGAGGCACATTGCTCTCCCCGGTAAGGGCAGAGAAAGGAAGGAACCCAGAAGTCTTTGGGTTCTTTATGGAGAATTAGGATTTAGAATCAACCTGGGAAATATTGCAAGTAAGTCCCGTAAATGTTGTGTGGCCTGGAAAAAGGTTCCCAGCATCAGCACAGACCGCCCCTCATCCTGGGAGAGGACAGCACTGACGAGGCTGCCCCAAAGTAAAATCTGCAAGCTGGAGAAGTACTGCAGCCACCCCTGGCCTCAGCTGGCATGAGGCCCTGCCAGCTGTCCCCCTCTCAGCTGGTTGGTTCCAAGAACGGGCAGTATCCGCCTGCCCCAGGCATCCTGGAGCTTAGCCCACCCCCATTGGCAGTGTGTTGATTGGCAGTTAGGTACTGAGCCTACCGAGTTAGAGTTTCCAGATGGGGTGGGCTCACGCCACCCAGGGGCTCTCTGCTGGCTGCCCATCCCCCACTCCACACCCACCTCTCTGGCCTCTCACCCTGCTCCCTGCTCTGTCTTCCCTCTTCCTTCCTTTCCTCCCTCCCCAAGGCCTTCTTCTCCAACTCCAGCCCTGGAAACAGTGGCTGCAGAGGGGGAATTAGATGCACCAAAAAAATTAATCTTGGTCCCCATAGCGCTGACCTGGCAGTTCCCAACTGTGTTATGGCTTTGTGTGTGTCCCCAGCACCCAGCACAGTGCCTGGCACACAGGAGATGCTCAATAAATGGAAGTTGAACTGAATTAAACTGAATCTCCCATATGTTATTGCTCTCTCCCCAAACTGGCCATCTGATGGGCAAAGGCAGAGAATGGTCCCTGAGACTGTCACAGTCCTGTCTCCACCCCTTTCCCCAGACAAGTTCCAGCCCTGGGCTCTGACACCCTGAGCCCGGGCAGGGCCTGCGCTCCTGGCAAGGCTGGGAGGTGCTGAGGAGGGTCCCATGGGAGGCAAGGGGCACTAGCAGCAGCTCTGCCCTCTGACCCCCAGCAACCTGTCCCTGCCCCAGCCACCCCAGAGTGTGGAAGGGCTGGGCTCCTCCATGCTCTGCACATCCGTCCCCAAAGGCCCTCCCACCGGGAAAGCTGTGGCTCTGTTGACCCAACCTGGACACTCAGGAGCCAGAGGAAGTGGTAGGACCCTCGGTGAACCTCAGTTTCCCCATCTGCAGGATGCCCTGGCTAGTTGATCTCTGAGGTCTTCCCAGGTGGTGTTCTCCACGTCAGCATTTACTCTTGTCTCTCTCTCTCGAGGCTTAAATAAGTCCCTCTTAATGTGAGTAAAATGGCAGTGAAATTGGCTCTCCACAAAGGCTGCTTGCTTCCGTACTGCGGGAGTTGTTGGCAAGGGAGGACGTAACACGGCTCCAGACGTGGCCTGGCGGCTGGGGCCTCAGCAGCCCCCAGGCTCCCCTCACACTCCACAGGGCATCCCAGGCCAGAGCCAGAGGCCACCCCGCAGAGGGTGACCCGGAAGGCTGGAATAGAGCTGCAAAGGGAAGCCCCTGCCCACCCTGCGGGGCCTCCTGCCCTGCCCGCTCTGCCCTGGCTGCCCCCTACCCACCACCAGCGCTCACCCTGCAGGAAGGCGGGTGCAGAGCGCTCCGTTGCCCTGCGGAGCCCCAACCGTTTAGCCCCTCAGCTGAAGTTCGTCCCGTTAGTGAGTATGGTGAAAAATGACCACTACTGGACCCAGCGCACCCATGGCCCAGCCAGCGGCTGTTCAGTACTAGTCTCGCCAAAAATCCCACGGGACTGGGGCCAACCGGGAGCCATGAGGCTTCTATTGCAGCAGCTCGGCTGGAGAAGGGGTTGAGCTGAGCTCCTGGGGCCAGGCTGTCCCTGCTGGCCTCCAGCCCCGGCTTCCTCAATACTCGGGAAACGAAGTCCTCCTTCAACAACGCTCCCGACCCAGGCCACCGGGAGCCGTCACAGGAAGGCCGTTCCCCTCCGAAGCCACACCACACAGTCCCCGCACTAGGCAGCCAGACAGCTGCCTCCTCCACTGCTCCCCCCACCCCCCCTGCCTCTCAGGGCTGGCAGCTCCAAGCCCCCTGTCCCTCCCCCAGGGCCCACACACCCCAGACGCCTTGGCAGGTCCCTCAAAGGAGAGGTGGGTCGCTCTTGGTGCAGGGTGGGGGATACGAAGTGAGGGGCTCAGAGGGGCCCAGGCGGGCCCTGGGGTCCTGGTTCAAGGGAAGCATACCAACAGAGGGCGGGCAGGGGCACACTGTGCAGGGCGGAGGGCGGGAGGAGGACAGGGCGCGGGCCGGGGCTGCAGGGCCGCAGCTGCAGGGCCGCCGCAGTTACTTGGTACTGTCCTCCACGTTGCCCTCGCCGTCCGTCTTGCCCTCCTCCTCCGTCTTCAGGTCGTCTGTGCTCAGCTTCTGCTCCTTTTTCCTCCTCACGCACTTCACGACCATCAGCACCAAGATGACCACAGCCAGGAAGCCCCCAACGGAGGCGCCCACGATCACGGCCACCGTGGAATCCCGCTCAGGCGGCTCTGCAGAAGCGAAGGCCACAGGGCTGGGCGGGAGCCTCCTCCAATGGCACCGGCCCCCCAAGATGCACGGGGGGCCTGACTTCACTCTCCTCCGTGGAAAGGACTTAAGTCAAAGCCAAAACCCCACCCAGCCATTAATAGCTAAGTGTCCCCTCCCCAAACCCCAGGGCACCTAGAGCCCCGGGGGAGGGCAGCGCCGTGCAGTATTAAGAGCGCTGGACTCTGAGATCGCACAGACTCCAGTCTGAGTTCTGACTGTACTATATACTAGTTGGGTGACTTCAGGTAACTTTTTTAAGCCTCAGTTTCCTCCTCTGTACAATGGGGATAATAATAGTTCCTCCCACGCAGGATTTTATGAGGATGAAATAGGACAATGCATATATAGAGTTCAGCCCTATAACTGAGACATAGTAAGTGCTCAATAAATGAAGGCTGCTATTATGATTCTTAAGATTGTAATCATGATCGATATTATCACAAGGACTCTCTGAGACAGGTTCCCAGGCCTCCGAGGCCTGGAAGGAGAAAAACCCCCGCGCCTCCCTCCGTTTACAAGGGCGCGGCCCGAGCAGCCCTGAGCCGGGACTGCCGACTGGCGGGCAGCAGTGGTCCGGGGCCCGCAGCAGCGCCTCACCTTCCAGGAGGACCTGCAGGAGGATCCTGCCATGGCCACGGTGGCGGTCGGGCGGGTTCATGACGTAGCAGTTGTAGGTGCCCTCATCCTCCAGCTGCACGTTTCTCAGAGTCACGGACACATCGTACTTGCTGGGGTTCCCCGAGAACTCCACGCGGTCTCGGAACTGCTCCAGCTTCAGGTTAATGATCTTCATGCGGAACTGGAGGAACTGGGAGCAGGGTGAGGGGCAGGACGGGGATGGATGAGCAAGGACCTGCCAAGGGAGCGGGGTGCCCCTCCTCCTGGGCAGCCTCAGAGCTGGGAGAGAGGCAGTTACCTCGGATCTCCACCTCCCTCCCAGGGCCACCCAGGTACGACACCACACCTCCTGCCAAAGCCCTGCGGAGCAGACAGCCCACAGGGTGCTCCGGGGCCCGGGTATTCTGGGGTCCTGATCCAGCGCAGGAGCAGGTGGTGGAAAATGTGCGCTCAGCATGGGATCTCCTGCTCATGCCCCACCCCCATGCCCCATCTCTGCCGCAGGACTCACCATCTCCTCAGAGCAGTTACTGCACCCCTGGTAGGTCCAGTTCAGGGAGAACTGTTTGTGGTTCACTGTGTAGCAGGAGTTGAAGGTGCAGGGCAGGCGGGCATCAGAGCCGTTGAGGACATTGAGGGTGGCAGGTACTGTGACTTCCATGCTCCGCCCTGGTGGCACTGTGGACAAAGCCACAAGCTGGTGAGGACTCTGTGTGACAGAGCTGGAGAGGGGGCCAGCCTTCTGCACCTGGCAAGGAGCGGAGCAGGAGTTATGGCAGCAGGCTGGGTCCCTCAAGGCTGAGACCGAGGGGACAGCGTGGGGTGGGCAAGGCTCAGAAGAGGCACCTGACGTGACCCTCGGGGTGAAATGGAGAGCAGATCAACGTTGAGATGGCAACAGATCAAACTGGCTGTCAAGCCAGGGATGGACAAATGGCCCCAAGCCTTTTCCAGGGCCATTGCTGTGCACCCCTCCACCTGGCTGTCCTGTCCCAGTCCTGCCATTGTCTCCTGTTAGCTGAGAACCCTGGACAAGGGGCTTCACTGTGCTGGCCTCAGTTTACCCCTTCCTCCCCACCACTTCCATCCACCTCCGCCGAGCGAACGCTCTCCCAGCTAAAGCCACAATGTCCCGCGTGGGGGGACAGCCGGAGATTCAGAAGGCCTTGCGCTCTCGGCACCTGAGCCGGAGTAAAGCGGGGTGCCCGGCCCAGCCTGGCCCCCTTGCCCTCCCCGGACTTCCAGCAGGCAGGAAAGAGGACAGAAGAACAGTGAACGGGAAGAGGTGCCCCAGAAGACTTGGCACAATTCCAAGGGACCAGCTGATGGGTCTACAAGGACAGAGGTCCCTTTTGGAGAAGTCAGGCCTGCAAACACCACAGCCAGGAGCCGATACAAGCTGAAAGGGTGGCAGGGTGGGAGGAGCAGGTTTCTGCGAAATCCCGTAGGGAGCTCCAGCCTTGGTCCAGGAGACCTGGGTGCGGGAGCTGAGAAAGGCCCAGTCAGACATCCTAAGCAGGGCAGAGTCCAGAGTGAGGTGAGGGGGCCAACGTCCTTCCAACTGAAATGGCTGTGCCCCTCACAGGGCAGAGAGCCTCAGGTACAAAATATAAGGGGCACCCACTCTTGGGGTCATGCCATACCTCTTTAAGCTGCACCCTAGGCCCTCATTTGCCTCACCCTAGTCCTGGCCTTCATTCTAAGGTTCTAGGCCAATATTGTCAAAACCTCATCCCAAAAGATTAATTTCCTTTGTAGAGGATAAACAGCAATGCTCAGCATCAATAATTTTTCCACTTATTTACCAAATACTTACAGATCGCCTACTACACTCCAGGACTCAGTCTAGACCCTGGGGGTTACTGCTGTACACAGAGTCTCTGCAACATGGAACTTGTATTCCAGGCAGGCGACAAACATTAACAAGGAAAAACACTAATGTCACTTCAGGTAGTGACACATGGCAAGGACTATAAGGAACACAGCCAGGTGAAGGGGGGGTCAGGGAAAACGCCCTGAGCAGGGAACAGGCAGGCAGCTCCTGAGTGAAGCAGGGGAGGCAGTCATTGGAAGTTTTGAAGGAATCGAGTTCTGTGGCAGTGGAATATCAAGAGTGAAGCCCCAGGGGCTGGAATAGGCTTCATGGGTCTGCGGCACAGGAGCAGAGCCGTCAAGGGGACAGACCCTGAAGCCCGAGGTCTAAGAGTTAGGCAGTGACCAGGTGGTCAGGGGCCTCACTGGCCAGAACAAGGCATTAGGACTTTATTCTCCCAAGAGAGGTAGGAAGCCACTGGGGGGCTGGTGGCAGGGGGCATCTAGAGAGCTGCCCGGGGAGAGCCGTGGCTGCTGGTACGGAGAGGTCACACGGACGTGGGCTCCATTCCAGCTCTGCCCCAAGTGGCTGGGGGAATGTGGGCCAGCCTCCTCACCTGCTAAGCCTCATTCCTGTGCTCTGCAAAACTCAGCAGAAGACACCCCCCCTCCAGGGTTGGCATGATGATTAAATAGGATGAAATATAGAAAGCACAGCACAGTCTGCCTAGCATAAGTGCTCCTGGAGAGCTCTTATCTAAAATTCTCCTCCAGGTCTGCCCCCAGCAGAAAGGGCCTCTGGGGCCATCTGCCCGCACAGCACAGCCCCTTGGACCTCCCCCAGGCCCAACAGGGGTGCAGCAGGGTGGGAGGATGCCCTGTAGGGTTTTTCCATTTCAAACTGTTTGCCTTGTGCAAAGTTGCAGGGCCCCACCCCAGGAGTGGCCGTACTGTGATAGCGAAGTCTGCTCAGCCCATCTCTGAGGGTGTGTGGCCAGAGCCAGTATGGAGAACTCAAGAACAGAAGATGCTCTGACCTGCTTGTCCTGGAGGCCAGGCTGAGCCCTAGATAGAGGGTTCGGCATGCACCCCCATCCAAGGGCCTAGGCTCCCAGTGTGCACTGAAGTGCCCGTCCCGGGAGGATGAACTGGGGCGGCTGAGAACAAGGCCCGGCTCCAAGCTCTCCACTTTCATACCATTACGGAAGCACGGCGCCAGCACCAGGCAAGGAGGAGGTGTGCAGAAAATGCCATTGCCACCCCCGCTCTGCAGAGGCAGGGAAATCTGCAGGGAAGGAGCCTGGCAGGGCCTTGTCCTGAGCTCACCTCATGTCCCAGGAAGGCCCTGCCTCCCCCAGCCCCCTTCTTTGGAAGGGTTTGCTACTTGCCAGGATCCCCCCAGCCAAAAGGAGCCTCCAGGTGATACCAGGAAGTAGCAGACCTGGCTGACCCACCCCCGGCTCTGTCCCGCCGCCGGCCCAAGACATCACTCCCATTAGAACTGGAACCCCACAGGGCAGCTCCCTCCACGCTTAAGGAGCCAGCACTCCCTGTGTGGGAGGGCAGAGCAGAGGAGAGCAGAGGGGCCTTTTCTGGCTGGCAGGAGGGGGCAGAGGGAGGGGCGCACCACAGGGTCCTCCCCTGCAGGCCTGCAGCGCTGCCCCTGCCGGCGGCACCAGGAGGAACCCGCGTGCCCTCTGGTGGTCAGAGAGGCCGAACATGAAGTCCCAACTGCAGGAAGGCCCAGGGTCACAGATCCGAGGAAGCCAGGGCGGGAACCTCAGATCCAGACCCCATGCCTTACCAGTGAGGAAAGCGAGGCCCTGAGAGAGACACTCAGAGGCCAGAGACAGGCTACAAAGCTGGGCCAGTACCATGGTTTCTGACCCCTGGTCCCGGTGCCCCCCTCAGCCTGCATCTTCTCAGGATCACAGACCCAAGGCAAAGGCCAGAGGCCTGTCACCAATCCAGGCCCTCATGAAAGACAGAAAGCCATCATGCCACGAGGTCAGAACTGTGCACAAAGTCCTGTTCTCTCGATGAAATCCCTTGCTCCAGGAAGGTAGCAGATCCATGGCGAGGACCACAGCAAGGACTTCCTAACAACAACAGAGCGCTCACTGTGTGCCAGGCGCTGTTCAAGCAGCCTGCAGACACCACCCCCACTTTCCAGATGAAGAAACTGAGCACAAGGAAGTTAAGTGGGCAACTCAAGTTCACAGCTAGCAGGTGACAAAGCTAGATTTGAACCCAGGCTGCCAGGCTCCAGACAGAGAGCTGAGGGTTGAAGCTGGGTGAGGGGGTGATGACCATTCCAAGGAGTGTCAGGGACCAGGCCTCCAGTCCACAGGGCAGGCCCAGCCCCACCACTGCCAGCCCCCAGCCCCAGGCAGGCTGGCCAGAGCGTAATGGCCCTATTTAAAGGGCCCTCCGTACAAGGGGAGCCACAGTCTTCCTGGCTGTCCCATTTGGGACCAGGCCAGGGGCCTGGGACTCCTGATTTCTAAGCCACAGAAAAGAAGTAATGATCAGCGGGGCTGCAATAAGGACATGCGTTTGATCTTAGCTCCAAAGCACCACGGTGCCCAGGCATCCCCACTTTCTCTGGGCCCCATGTCGTACCCTCTCCTAACTCACCTATCCTGCAGACATCACAAAATTGGCTCATCTCCTGGAGAGACTGGAAGTTCATTGCTCTCACTCCTCTTTGCTACCCCAGAGCAACCTGTGAGGTTGCTTGGTTAAAGAGAGAGAGACACTGTGTCTAAGCAGGGAAATTGTCTCCCAATCTTCTGGAGCACTCTGTCCCCTTGGGCAGCACCTGCCTCACAGGTGGAGGTGACACTCAGCCCGTCTCCTGAACTGCCTCACCCTGTGGACCCTCTCCCACTCTAGGGACTCCACTCCCAGCCTAGTCCACTCCCGTGCAGCCAGGAGAGCAACATGTCCTCTCACCATCGCTCCCCCTGAAACCTCCACTGGCTCCCTGTTACTTCGGGATTCCTGGCACGGCTTCCGAGCCCTTTGCCATCTGGGACCAGCCTACACCCTGGCCCCTTCTGCCAGCTCCCAGCCCTCCAGGCTTCCTCCACTCCAGGGACCCCAGAGTTCTACTCTTCCAGACGCCACCACCTCCTTTTACCCCTCCGTGCCTTTGCACAGGTTTTTGCTTCAGGCTGAGGAGCTCCTTCGCCCTTCTGCCCCTGGGGTCTTCCTCCATACCCTGCAGGTCCCTGTGACTAAGGCAGGTCCCACTGCCTCCATGACAGCTCCCCAGTGCCTGGGCCCTCTCCCCAGCCCTGTTCCTATTGCCTCCACATGCCTTGGAGGCAGAATGGCGTAGTGGCCGAGGCCAGGGTTCTAGAGCCCTGGTCTGATCTTAGGCAAGATAGTTAACCTTGCAATACTTCCATTTCCCCATCTGTAAAATGGGGGACAATAATAGAACCTACCTCCTCGGGCTGTTGGTAGGATGAAAAGACTAAACTAATGTATAAAGTTCACAGCAGTGCCTAGCACACAGTCAGCCCTCAACAAAGGATAGCTGCTGTTATTGTTATCACAACATATACAACAATGTGTTGTTATTATTTGATGCACCTGCATTCTGAATCCCTCGGGAAGCCCTGAGGAACTGATTCTCACTCATATTGGTATCCCTGAACCCAGAACAGCGTGTGACACACAGAAGGCACCCCATAAAAGTCTTTAGAAAGAAGGGAAGGCATTTTCCTCTCTATGTCTGAGTCCCTGCCCCCAGGAGCAGACATGTGCAGGGGCTTGAGTGAGGACGAGGCTGTACTTTCCAGGTCCCTGCTAACTAACCCACACTTTGGTAACCAGGCTTGTGATCACAGAGTTAATAGTCTCAAGAAATCTCTAGGGAAGCCCAGTTTGGGTTGTTTCTAACCAAAAGCTAGTCTCGCATGCTCCTGCCATGTGTACAGAAGGCTGCTCAGCATGGCCCCTTCCCTTTGCCAGCTCTGTAGTCATCCTCACAAACCCAGCCCCTGATCCAATCCCCGCCCTCATCACCTGCGACATCCTTCCATCTGGGGACGGATGCCGCCCAGCAGAAGTCCCACTGTCCACCTGAGCACTCTGCCTTGGAGTTCCGAGGTGTGACTTCTCACAGCACCGATCAGATTCAAGTTGCAGCACCCCATTCCTGCATCCTTCCCCCCAGGCTTGCAGAAAAGCTTTAGCTTCCTCCACTACCACCTCACCAACCCCCTCCCTGACCTCTTTACCCCAGATCCATGTGCCCCTCCACCACGGAGCCCCTTTCCTTCCTTCATTTGGATCAGACTCTCACAAGGCTGCCTCCCTCCTGCAGGAAGCTCTCCCCAAATCCCCCAAAGAGTTCTCCATCCCTGGCTCCTGGCACACAGGTGTTTCACCCAACTCCCTCTCTTTTACCTGCCCTTGAGATTCCTGGACCAATTATTATTAATACAGCAGTACCACTTCTTGAACATCGGGGGCAGTAGAAGTCAACGGTTAAGAAGATGCTGCAGTCAGACAAGCAGGGGTTCAAATTGCAGCTCATCTTAAACTGGCCGTGACCTTCTTAGGCAAGTTACTTAACTTCTCTGTGCCTGTTTCCTCTCCTGCAACCTGAGAGTAATAGCTGTATCTACTTCCTATGATGACCGAATACCATGAACACTGAACAAGAGATGTAGCCAATGGGCACGTGAAAAACATTCATAAAGGTTAGTGTTACTGAGCACCTGTTATATGCCAGACTCAAAAACACAACCTGGCGGTAGGCATTCCTCAGTTTACCTGTGAAAGAACTGGGGCTCAGAGGGGTCAAGTAACTTGCCGGCGGTCATGAAGAAAATGACAAGGTAGCTTTAAACCAGATCTGATTCCAAGGCTCATGCTATTTGTACCGCCCAAGCTTCCAAACATTTCTGCTCTGTCATTAATATGTCCAGTAACTGAGCAAAGCTAATAGGCCTCCCACAGGCTGCCGGGGACTCTGCACGGTCTCTGTTTAGCACTCCTGCCAATATCCAGCACAGCTCGCCAGAGGAAGAGAGAAATTGTGTTGGGGAATATCCCCACTGACAGCCCTTGGACTTGACCAACTGCTACACCGGCAGTGAGAAAATTTAGGAGCATGAATGAGAATACCTATAAAGCAGGCTTGCAAACACCGCTCCAGCCCAGCTACGTACCAGTAAGTAAGTGGACAAGTATGAAATTTACATTCAGATCATGTGTCAGCAGTCCACCAGGCTGGGCCAGGCAGGCCTGAGACAGGATGTCAAAGAGGCACAGCCACCCCGAGCCCACGGGCTCCTTTCTGATCTCTTGATCCCTTCGCCTGAGCCCTCCTCCCGTCCCTCTGGCCCAAGCCAGAGGCCTTCTCCGTCAATGCTCGCCTCGGCCGCTCTCTTCCCAGCCCAGAGCTCATTCCTCAAGCCTGCTTCCCACCTACTCCTCAACACATTTCCCCAAATCAGGGGTACAGATTTCCAGGAAGCCGGGCCCAGACTCGACTTTCTGCCCCAACTCCCCCACATGCTCTTTCCTCATATCCTGAATCCACCAGATTCCAAAGGTCAGGGTTCACAAATGAAACCCTTTAAGGTCACACAGGTCCCAGAACCCCACATGTGCAGCAGCTGAAAGAAAAATCCATGAAGAGCCTCTGAGGGGCAACCTACCCCTCTGCCCCCACCCTACCATAGGTCCATCTCAGGGATACCCAAAGAAAAATCACCTCCCTTGACAACTGTCACCCCCGACAACACGGAGACCCCGATTCAGCGTTTCTGGGACCAAGTCATCCCAGCACTATGCAGTGCCCAGTAATGTCTTCCCCAGTCTCCGGCACCTCCCTTCCCAAGGACACCAAAGGGAAGCTCAAACAACTGTCGTCTCCTTTCCTGCCCCCTGCCCCCATCCTCTTCCAGCTGTGGCTAACGCTGAACCCTCAAGAGCATGCAGATGTGCAATCTAACTTACCCAAAGAGAAAAAGAGACTGAGCCCCGTGAGACTGAAGGCAGGGCGAGGTAGCCAGGCATCTCTGTGCATTTTCAGAGACTGTGATGTTAGTCGGGTGGGATATGGGAGAGCGTGAATTGGGGGGCCGAGGGCTACACGGGTGGAATGGTTGAATGCTAAAAAAAAAATGCACAGATGTACTTCAAAGACACATACAACATTACTGAAGCTTTATTTCCATCTCTCTAATATGGCCGGCTTGTCTGTGGCTGCTAAAAAGAGAGAGGGAGTGTGTGAAGGAGAGAGAGAAAAAGGGGGATGGAGTAAATTTTGTGGTTGGTGGATTTCAGAAAGCAGGTGGGAGGGCATAAAAGAGTCTTTCTGAAAAGAGCAAAGTTCCCAGAAATTGTCACCCTCTAAAACAAGAACTAAAGCAAATCTGACCTGTTTTCTTGGATGATTGTTGGGTTTTGAAAGCTGTTAGAAGAACCCATTCATTTCAAAGCTGATGTAAGGAGGAAATTCTTTTTGTCCTTTAAAAACACCCCATAAAGGAGTTGCTTGTTTTTGTGTTATTTGGAAAGGGAAGTGAGTTGGGGGGACTTTTAGGAAGTAAGGACTTCCTCCTTTTTCTAGCATTTCCACTGAAAACAGAACATTTGAAACAGGCTGTTGTAAACGCATCTAAGAGATCTTACAATCGGATGTTATACGGACCTTTGGGGAATCCTGATTCACTCAAATCAACAGCAAAAAGACATTCTTGAGACAACTGGGAAAACATAAACATGGACTGGGTGTTAGATTATATTAGCGAACGATTCTTCATTTTGCTGAGTGTGATAAAAACATGGTGGTCATATGCTTTAACATATTCATTTGTTATACACACTTGAGTGTTTCTAGGGGAAATGGTGACTGGAATCTGCTTTAAAATATTCCAGGAAAAGAAAAGAGAGGTGGTGGAGGTGAGTGACATGGAGTGGACAATGCTGATCACTGAAACGGCTCTCTCTTCTATTGCGTATGTTTGAACATTTTTCCCTTGAAAACAGAAGGAAAAATGGGCTAGGATCGCAAACAGGAGAACTTAGGTGGATTGCCAAGGTGGCCCTAAACAGAGAAGGTCTTCTACCTCTTCTGGGAAGACATTTAAGTAGAATCCAGGTTCTTGGGCAGCAAAATCACATGCACACGGGATGGGCCATCAGTGCACCAAAGAGGGAGCAACTCATCACTGTGAGCTTGAGCTCTGTGCCAAGTGCCTTATGCATGACATCTCGGCTTGACTGGAACCCTGGAATAGGTGATTTCTCTTCTTCTTCTTTTTAATTGCAAATAAGGGAAGTGAAGCTGGGGGCTCAACCCACCCAAGCTTACATAAGGTAGCGAAGGGCAGAGTCAGAGCGGGGATTCCGACTGAGGTCTGGGTAAAGCACTGGGTGTTGCGAGGATCCCTCATTGCCCATCTCCCAGGGGAGGAAACAGGAGACCTCCCATCAGGTTATTTAGAGACACGGGGAAGAGAAAACTGGCGTGGACGAGCGAGAGGAGTGTGCTGTGAAAGGAGCTGAGGGGCAGGGTGTGGAGGAATGAAATGGGGCCAGCACGGTGCTTGGCTCACAGCAGACACTCAATAGGCAGGTGATGCAGAGCTGCACTGGGCAGGCCTGAACGGATGAACGCAGGTGGAGAGGGAATGGGGGAAAGCAGACATCTGTGAAGGCAGCAGGACCTAGCCCGGCACTGAAGCTGTTGCCAGGGAGGACTGAACCGGGCCAGGTTCTGGGGACAGTACCTTAAGGCAGAGGGGAGGAGAGGAGACCTCCATTGCTCTCCACCCCCCAGAGGTGGTCATCAGGATGGGATCTTGCACAGACCCTGTACCCCAAGTGCCCCTATCACTAGACCAGAGAGAGTCTGGCTCGTCCACAGAACACACAGTCCACGGGAGGGAAAACCAGGGAAGAGGAGTGCAGCCTAGGGAAGAAAAAGTACCCTCCCTCCCAGGTCTGCTCCAGGTAGTGGCCCCGCTGCCAGGTGTGTCCTGAGGAATAGACGGGTTGAGCCCAGCCGGCCCAGCGCTGCTCCAGGCCCCAGCCAGATCCCATCCTGCAGCTCTGCCTCCCAGGCTGCCGCAGACACAGGTCAGCCCGAGAGTTTTAGTTTGACGTAGCCGGCCTCCTCTTTTTCCTTGATGCAGCTGAGGGTGCTTGCGAGGCGGTGAAGCTGCTTACCTTGCTCACTTGGTCACACGCTGGGCCCAGAAGCTTCTATTTTGGAACTTCTGAGATAAGACGTGCATCCGGAAGTTCCTCTGCTTCTGCCTAGAATTCGGCTAAGAAAAACCAGGTACATGACCTATAACAGAATAGCCTTTGTCAAACTCAGCCCTCAAGGACTAAGGGTCAGAAGGTACCCCATTAGGGGCGAGGTACCCTGGCAGGAGGAGAGGTACCCCTGAAACTCCCCACAGCTCACATGGGCCTCCTGATGCCCATTTGCTCCGAAAGAGTACGCCTTCCCTAGGGGCCAGTAAAATCCTGGGAAGCTGAAACTCAAAGAGGTAATTTCCAGAATGAAGACACCAATATAAAAAATGGCTACTTTGGGGAGTAAAATCCTATTTTTGGCATTTATATGCCATGCCATTTAGCGCTGAAGATGTTATCAGACAACATCCAATTACCTGCTCCGCTGGGAGAAGCAGGATCACAAAAGATCCAAAGGAAAGTAGTTTCCCTTTGCTGCTGGGAGGCCTCGCTGAGGCTACCGAGAGCCTCCCTAGATTGCCTGAGAGCCTCACCTCTCAAAGTGTGGTCCCCGGACCAGCATCATCAGCATCACCTGGGAGCTCCTTAGAAATGCAGAGTCCCAGGCCCCACCTCGGCCCCAAGGAATCCGAATCTGCATTCTTAACAGGAGCTCTGGATGATGCTTGAGCACATTAAAGTTGGAGAAGTGTTGTCTTCAAATCCTATGAAAAGGTTTGCCTCCTAGGAGCAAGGGACAATAGGGAGCCAGGTTTGGGTGGCTGGAGAGAAGGGGCTGCCAAGCAAGAACAAGTTCAGGATTCAACGCTGGCCTCCGGTGATCTGCACCTGGCCACCCGCTCGGGAATAACATGGTAGGAATTCATTTCACTCACCTCTCCTCTGCCCCACGCCCTTCTCAAGCCACTCCATACCAGGTGAGGCTTCTCCTGGCCTGCAGAGGCCTTCACATCTTGGTGCCTTTGCCTTTGAAGTTTCTTCCTCTAGGAATGCCCGTCCTCTCTCTTCTGCTTGGGAAACTCGTAGTCTTTTCAAATATCTTTTCCGAAGTCACCCATTCCTTATCTTCTACGTATCTATTCTCATCATGCTCCCCTGACACTACATTCACTCATTGTTTATCAATTCCCTCGTTCAACAAATTCAAGTATCTACTTAATGTCCCATATATGCCAGACAGTAGGCTAGAAACTAGAGACTCAGAAATGAATGAGATACAGCTCACCCTTTGAGAACTCACATTCTAGAAAGAGAAACATGTATAGAAAACCCATCCATACCTGGTATTGCTTGTGTCCCCATGTTATTAGGAGTTGGGGAATATTTTCATTTTTTGTTTACACATCTTACCTCCCCAGCTAGACCGTAACTCTTTAAGAGTAGGGATTGTGTCTTATTCTTCCTAGTGCTGGGCCTCTAGTGGCCCCTGAACAGGTGGGAATGAACGTGTTTTACATCTGGGAAAGGGCAGAAGCTCCATCAGCCTGATCTTACTCAGCTGAAGAGCGACAGAACCAGGACGGGGAGCCAGGTCGGCACCCCACTCCCTAGGAAGTCCATGCAACAAGGGATTGCCCCACATGGGGTCAGATGCAAACAAGCTCACAGAAAAGATCTAAAGCAAGATCTCTAAGAGCTCAAGATCTCCTGGAGAATATACAGCCTCACAGCCACAAAACAATTAGAGGGCATCAGAAGATAAAACCTGGCAAGTGTAGGAACATCTAGGAAGATGTGAGGACTAAGAGATCACCCAGGCAGGACTCGAGAAGGGCCTTGAAGAAATGTTGATTTGGGCAGGCAGGAAGGGAAAAGGAACTCCAGGTGGGGAACACGGAGGGCAAAGCTTCGGAGCAGGAAAGACAAAGATATAAGGAGCAGGGGGTTCTGGTCATGAAAAAAAAATGGGAAATGTGGGTGGGAAGATAAGAAGGCACCCAAATTCAGAAGGCCAGGAACATACCACGTGCAGTTCAGACAGGTAATACTGCTGTCATCATCTGTGAAATAAGAAAGGTCTTAGCTTTCTGAGAAAACTCCAAGTTCCTTTATTTTTATACAGATATGTTTCGAAAGTTGGGATTACGGAAGTGGTGATAGATTGCCTGACATCCCTTGAGGAAGACAGACCACATTGGCAGACCAGCTGGCCAGCACAGAGGGTCGACAATCCTGGGAAACTTTGTTTAAGATGACAACTTGTCTGTGTTGGGATAAAACTTGCAACCTAAGGTTCTTTGACTCTAAATAACTCAGCTAGTTTAGTGGCGGCATGACACACACACGCATACACACACCCAGCTCGTGTTTTAGCAAATAAATTGCCAGTGTAGACAGGTAAGCATACAGACTAGCCAAGAGGAGACAAAGAGTCGTGTGGGAAGGAGAAGCAAAACCCTAAAGGGCTGGAGGATGGCTGCTGCCTTATGAAAGGGGCATAAACTCTGCAGGTCCCCGTGGACAGGCAGAACGCTTTGCAATTATTCCCATAGTCAAATTCTGACACTGCTAGATTCTCCATTATTCATGGCTAGCCCCCCACCCCCACCCCACCCTTAGGCTGCTTTCTGTTGGCGAAAGCCTGTATGCTTCTGGAAGCCTCAGAGTGCTGCCAAACCCTTCCCTGAGCTCAGCCTCCTAATGCTTTCTTTGGACAGGAAGAGGGACTTTGGAGTTTGGGGCAAAAGGGCTTCGGCCCACAGAAATACGAATCAACAAAAGATGGGGACTGAATCACTAGAAGGCAGACCCAGTTGGGAAAAACATATCGGAAGGGGATGGAGGGCTCAGATCAGACACTCGTCCCTCGATGACCTCCTCTAGTCCCCACGAAAAATCCTGTGAGTCTCCATTTGATACAGAGGGGAAGCAGCCTCGAAGAACTGAAGTAAACTTTGGCAACATTGAAGAGGAGAGCCAGGATTTAAGCCAGGCCTGCGTGACTCTGAAGCTCATTCCCTGGGCCGCTTCTTCATGTTCCCGGATTGAATGGACAACCACCCTTGGGAGAAGGGTACAGGCAAGCAAGCAGACATTTGCCATGGTCCTCTGCAGGGCTGTTTTGGTTTTAGGCAAAATTAGCATTTGTCAGTTGCAGGCTTCCACTCTCAATGACCCCATGCCTGTGTGTAAGAGGAAGCTTAGTAGGTAGGCAGGGTTAGAGGACAGAGGTGGGCCTCTGCTTCCTCCTCCTCAGTTACAATGGCTGAACCCAGAATGGACGCCGCACTTTGAATGAACTGAATTCAAGCTTTGGCAGGGTAACCTCTAGAGGGGCTGCCCGCACTTCCACGACCAAAACTCCCTCCGCAGGACAGGGTGGGGAAGCAGCTCGGCACAGCCTCCCACTCATCTCAATTATTTTCTTCCACCCAGAACGACAGATGTAAAATCACCATCCATCCATTTAACTCTGTGTCCTGATGGTTCTGATCCAATGCCGATAATATTTGAGGAAGTAGAAAAGGGCCCCTTAGCCCAGAAATGGAACCACTTCTCCCACATCAACTCTTAGGGTATGAAAGAGTCCTCTTCCCCTCTCTACTTATCATGTCAGTATGTACCCCCCTCTCTGGTATGTCTTGGGCAGGATATTGCCTTCAATATGCATCCTGAAAGCCATTGACAAGCTCCTTATTTAGAGCTGGCAGGGAAAAAGCAGACACTGCATGACTCTGAGCCATGGCTGAACTAGAACAAAGAGAGGCTTCAGGCCTCCAAGTGGAGACCCAAGAGAAGGAGGCAATACTGGGTGTGTGCTGAGCGGGTCCTAATATTTGGAGAGTTAGGGGGAACCCTGCAGAAATGTAGCTCCACTTGAGGCTGGATCAGAAATCAAAGAACCACAGAAGACCCCCTCTTGCTTCATGCCCTGAATAGCTACGTGGGGAGGATGGGGTGCAGAGCATGCGGAAGGGCCTATGGTAGTCGGGGAGAGCCCAGCCAAGCCCACGCTAGAAAGAGGAACTCAGAACCTAAGGGTTTTTAAGATAAGCCTTACTAAATCTTACAATATGAACCAAGAATTATAGGAACCTCACATTTCAGACCAAGAGTCAATTCAGTGGCTGCCCATTTGGACAGCCCATGAATGCCACTTTTGAAAAAGACAGATGCCCGAGCCCCCAAGCTCCAGAGCGCCACCCAGGGATTCCAACCAGGATGCCTCTGGTGAGGCCAGGCAAAGAGCCACCTCCCATTGAGCTCCACCAGTACCCAGAAGCATGGGGTTAAATCCTAGCCCTTCACCTCCCACTCCCAGCCCATACACCCCCAAAAACCTCCCCAGGCCCCAAGCCAGCTCGCAATGTGTTGAGTCACAGGATGGCTTTCCTCTGGCCACTTCGGTGGCGTTCCTGACTATAAATTCCTCACCAAGACTTCACCTGACCCTCATCCAGGGTACAAAAACAAGATGCCTTCCACAAACCACATTTATTTGGGGATAATTTGTCCAAGTCATTCGGCTGGTTTTCTTTTCTGTGATTCTTTCCAGTAACTCATCCACAAAGAACACCACCCAAGCAGAGGGTCTGATCGGATGGGGTGTTTGGGGTCACTGGGGCAGCTCAGCCAGGACCCCAACACCAGCAACCACTCCAGAAGGAGCAAACCCGTGTGCCCCACACCAGAGCCTGAACCTCCAGAACTGTCCCGTCTTCCTGCCAGGCTCTGAACCTTCATCTTCAGCCCTCTGACCAAGCAATGGGGCGGGAGGACAACTGGGAGGGCAAGGGGTCTGATATAGCCGGTGCACGACTCAGCGCACCGAGGACAGCATCCGCTGTGCTATGGACAAAGAGCCTCCCCTTTCTTCCCTTCATGCTCTGTTTTTGGCATTCGTCCAGCTGGCTTTTTTTCAAGGAGGTTATTTGGTGCTGACCTCAGAGAAGGCCAGACTGGGTGCTGCGGGGTGGAGGGAAGAAAAACAGCACGTGTGAGAAGCATTTGAATCCTAATCAGCATCACTTTCCGAGCTGTTTCCATCTACCGGCCCATTCCGAGACTCGCGTGCACTCTCTCCTTGATTCTCACCGCAGGGAGGTAGGGACTATATTCCCATTTCAAGGATGAGGACATGGAGGCTCAGAGAGGCTGTTACCTGCTCAGGATCATCCAGCTTTGAAGTCACAGAATCAGGCTGGGCCTGGGTCTGTCCAACTCCAAAGCTCGTGATCTTAACCACCGTGCTGCACAGACTCAGGAAGGGGACACAAGATGGCAACCCCTTCATTTAAGTCAATTTAATCAAGCCAAGGGGAAAACCAAAGGTTCTTTGTTAGCCCTGCTCCTTCTCAGAGAACACCTCGATCCTTGAGGTCCCAAATAAGTGGCCTGCAGGCCAGGATTCACCCACAGGCTTTCACCCACAGGCTTGTTTGACTTAGCACACAGTGTTTTAGGGTTACCTGACCAGCCCCTGCTGGCCTTTGAGTTCGTGGCCCTGCCCTCTCATCACACTCACCTTACTGGATCGATTTCAGGAGGACAGAGGTGCTGTTTTCCACAGTTTAAATCCAAGCACCTAGCACTAAACATGGAGAAGGTGGCTTTGAAGGCCACCCACGCCTACATCATCTCTACCCCACAGACTTTCTGTGGACGGCGTCACCCAGCTGGGGACACGCTCGGCAGTAGCCATGGTGCAGCTGGCTCCGCAGAACTCCAAGAGGCCTGGCAGGTCTGTGGCATCACACAGCAATAATGGGTAGGGTGCAGGGGTGGAGCGTGCGGGTGGGGAATGACTCCGTGCAACCTCAGAGCAGAGCTACTGTTCCACGTGGTGGAACCAGGTATCTGATCCACACTTCCTCGCAGAGCCCTTCTCTGCCGTGGTCATCTGAGAGTCAATGTGTCCTCAGTGCCGGTGTAACAGGAAAAAACATGGCCATCGCCCCACAAACAGAGGAGGCCAGCCTTCCTGAATCTGCAGGACCCGGCTCCCTTCGTGGCCTGGGGGCCTGTAATTAGTCTACAGGTAGCATGATGCCCACTGCCAGCTCACTCCTTTTGTCCCTGTCCCTACCTGCTACATGCCAGGTGCCTTTTCTACTTGCCTGGGGAATTAAGCAAAGAGAAAGAAGGAATCAGCTTCCATATTATTACACGGACTTTGGCGTGAAGCCTTCCTGGCAGTTAAATTATATCAAGGTACAAGTCACAGAATAAAAGATCTGGAAGGGACCTTCTGACAGGAAGAAAAATGCTCCCTTGCAACGCAATGCTTGTCCAGGGATCTCAGCACCCTCCTTACTGGGCTGTGTGTGCCCGGGCTGCCCCGCTGAAGCAGAGCCCCGTGCCTACCCCATGACCGGGCCTCTTTGCACCACCAAAGTCTATCATTTCCACCCGGGATGACCTGAACACTCAAGAGGGGCTGGAGGCCAGCTGGGCATTACTCTTCTGCCCAGCAGAGCTTTAGCTTTTCAGACAGACCTCCCTCCTCGGAAAAGCCTCCACCCCCAGCAGTGTCCCCTCAACATCCGCACCCAGAGTTTGCCGGCCCCTCCTTCCCACCTTCACCTCCCACGTCCTCCTCCTCCTCCTCCCCCCACCCCCTCCCTGTACCCCCTACCCCCTCCTCCGGACACCAGGCTGGACCAGAATCGTTCTGACCATGGTCATGTAGGTGGCCTCTGACTTTCCAATCGATTCCTCTTCCTCGATCAGCTCCCGTGTAGTTATTGAGGAGTAAATATGTTTCTAGAGGAGAAAATGGTAAAAGCATTTGCCCCTAAAAATCAATGGATGCTGCATGCCAGAGAAAAGGCCACCTACTAATAATATTCATAGGGCATCAATCACCAAAACCAGGAGTTTCAGAGGGCTACTGAGAGCTAGGGAATGATCCTCCATAAGGATAATTCAGTCCTCATTCTTCCAGAAAAAGAAAACTAACTCATCAGCAAAGAGCACCATCTAAAGAACCAAATTCTCTGCTTCAAAAGACAAACGTCTTTGTTTGGATGGGTGTTTAGGCAGCAGCAGGGAATCCTTATCTTGCCAAATTGTTTGTACTCTCTGGTTATTTCCTTCTAATTAGAGGCATGGCAGGATGGTATTAATCAGCAGCTAATTGTCATCTCTTTCAGAGGGTTTGCAGGGACAGCCCTCGCGGAGCCTCACATCTGTGAGGTCGGTGGCACTTTGCGATTCCCGCCCGTGTCACTGGGGAAGCAGTGCCCTCCAGGGACAGTGTGGAGGCCTCTGGAGGCTCCTGCACTGCGTCATGAGAAACCCTACTCACAAACAGCCCCAAAGAAGGAAAAGTCAATATCCTAAGAGGAATTTTTAAAGCTTTTTAAAAAAAAAGAAAGAAAGAGCAGTCCAAGGAAATGAAGCCACTTCCAGGCCCTAGGGGCAATTATTTATAGCTCCCTTTCAAACCAGCAGGGAGCAGTCCTTCTTGGGGTTCTCTTTCTAAAGGTCCGCAGAGTTAAACTTAACCATTGACTCCTTCACTGAACGTCAGAATGTTCCGTGATTCTGCCTTATATTTAACCCAGGGCCTCACAGATTATGAGGCACCCACATCTCATCCTGTTATTTGATCCTTACTGATGAGGAAACTGAGGCTCAGGGAGGTGGCAGAGCTGAGCTTAAAGGGGCACTTTCTGCCCACCCCACCGGCCCACTCCCTGGACTCTCCCTGCAGTGATGAAGATCTCCTGGGCCCAGGCTCCGTGCCAGGCTGCGAGGCACTGATGAGCAGAATGACAATGGCACCACCCTGGTGCGGGGGCAGCGTCCGCCTCACCCCCTTTACCTGGGCCAGCAAAACAGAGTTCTTTGCTTACCTCTGGATGAGCCTTCTTTGTGTTCTCCAGGCTTTTCACCAGGGCTGTGGAAGGTACTGAACTGCAAGGCATGAAAAGCGTGTGGAATTAGCGAGCCAGCACCGTACATCCGGGCCCCAGAGAGCTTGGGGAGAGACAGCCCAGGGGAGGGACTCTCTGGTCAGCCTACAGCTGGTGCTAACCCTGCTCACCTTGAGATCTGAGAAGTGCATCTCCTAGCGGAGTGCAGGAAGGCATTCTGGAGATAGATTGGGCTGAGCAACAGCTTTGACTTCCTTATTATCACTCTAACATCTTTCCATCCATAGGAGGGAAGGGCTATGGGATTGATGAGCTTTTATCGTTTCCATGGACTAGGGAGACGTGGCTGAGCCAGTAGGGGGCAGCAGAAGCTCAGCGAGACACCAATTCAAAGCGCTCCTGGGCGGTCCAGGGGGATGCCCTGCATGACCATCCCCACAGACACCCCAGGCAATCCGGCCCCTTCCTAGCCCATGGCCTTTGACCTCTTGACCGTGTGCCCTCTGCATTTGCCACTGAATATATTTCCGTTTTCTATTTTGGCCTAAGGTAGAGCCATAAAAAAAAATTAGGGTTAAAGCTAGAAAAGAACCATATTTTTTTGGCTCAAAAGGGAAATATTTTTATCGTAATTCCTGATTACAGGTGTATGTTCTCATTGTAAAGTAATTCTTTCTCAAATAATACAGATACACAGACAGTTGGAAGTTGAAGTTCCAGTAAACCCCCTACTCTCATGGGACCCACCTTCTCTTTTATCCCAAATACCACTATTCGTAATTTAGAATTATCTTTCCAAACCCCTCTCAATGCAAGGGTAAGAACACTCACAGAAAATATATTTAGTATATCTGCTGAAGTGATTACCTTTCTGACAGATCCTGAGGATGATTCCAGTTCTGAATCATAACCAATGCTACAGTGAGCATGTTTATGCACAACCCTCAGCATATCGGTCTGATGATTTCTTTAGAATAAACTAGTAGTCACAAAAGCGCTACTCTTCATTTTGAGGAAAACTGAGGTCAAAGTGGGGAAGTGAGCTGACCTGGAGCCCAGGCTGTCTAACTCTTGGTTCAGTGAGTCTGCATGCCCAGAGCAGAGACCCTTAGAGAGGCCACCAAAGTTCAAAACCAAGTCAGAAAGCCCCTAGGGAATGATAGTGCAGACCTAGCTGGTGCAAGCGATTTCTGTGGTGTCCATGTTCCATGGGGAAGGGGGGCTCACAAGTCAGCTCTACTTAATCTTGATGGGGCGCTTTCCCATTGACATTGTTTCAACAAGAGAGTCAACGTGCCTTGGGAACATATTATATATTCAATAACTGGGTAAACTGAGGGACATGGACCTGGGAGCAGGTGCCTGCGTCAGAGCACCTGGGCATTTCTTAGATACTGGAAGAACTACTGATGAAATTCAAGCCTTTAAAAACACATTTCAACAATAAATAATTTGGGACCTGAGGGTATCCATTCAAAAATTGTCTTTCATAATTAGAATGTGGTCTTTAAATAAAGCCCCTCATAGCCCTCAAGATCTGAGCTTCTATATGAAACATACATTGTGGGCAATTCAAAAGTCTCTTCTCTCAGGCATTGAACAGCACCGTTACAGTTCTTGCATAAGATTTATACTCCAAGTACACTCCACTTAGACCACCACTTGTAAAAGAGCTGGTAATCTTTGTAAAATGCCAAAGCTAACGGGGGTGGTGTGGGAGTGTGCAAGGCCTTTCAGGAGCACAGTGAGCAAGGGGGCGGGGTCACTATAGAGATGACATCTAATGTGACAACCTCAGAGGATTCTGTTCTCAAATAGCACCTTCTGTGAAAATGTCACCATTAGGGCCGTATAATTCTCTTCCCCCTCAGCCTCCCAGCCCAAGACAGGGCAGCAGCCCGATACCTCTTATTCCCATGGGTCTTCCTCATGACCAGTATCAGAACAGAAAGCAGCAGGACAGTGGTGCAGACAATCCCCACGATGATCACCAGCTGATTATTGCCCAGGATCTCAGGTCTGAGGGCTCCGGGGGTCGCCAATGCTTGGGAAAGGAGAAAAGCAATGACAGGGCCTCAGGATTCCAGAAAAGAGCTGAGAGCCCCACCCATTCTACACCAAGTAGCCACAGCTAAGGCAGGAAGTGGGGGGAGAGGGTCAGACTGCACCCCATTCGAGGGGACCCACAGTCTGACACCCCTGCTTGCCCCTTCAGTGTAGATTAAGGCAGGTGGGAAAGAAGAATGGCACCTCACCTACAGCAGGGTTTCCTTTTACATTAACAATCCTATCGTAAAACGTGGTTTACCAGATGACATAGAAACAACATTTTATAGGCTGCTGATCTTTCTGTGGGATCGTGATTGTCTCTGAAAAGGCTGTACGCTACCACACTCAGCCCCACAGTCATGATACCAAGGAAAGCCATCGGAGGCACTTCCACCCACATGGTCCCCTTCACTCAGATCCTCGACTCGCTCTCAGCACAGACAGTGAACACCTCCTGGGTGCCAGGTGTCGCTAGGCACGGAAGATACAAAGACGGATAATGCCCAGCCTTGGCCTTCAAGAAGAGCAACACAAAAACATGTATACAGAAAACCACAGACACTACAGGTGCTACGCTAGAAGTCCATACAGTGTTCAAAGAAGCACAGAGAAAAGCTACCAATTTCTATGGCGAGCAGAAGATGAAAATTTGTCAGCCAAAGTTTTAAAGTTTGAAAGTCTTAAGGAAACATTAAGTTTGTTGGGCAGACAATCTGGTGAAGGAGAGGGGACCTTATGCACAAGGTCTAGAGGCCCAACAGGATGGCGCTTTACCTAGGTCTGGCCCAAAGGAGGCATTTGTGGGTATGGTGGGGAGTTAGGCGGGACAAATGATGGGTCTAAGTCATGAAGGACCTTGATTTTCCCCACGAGGGGGGGTTGTCTGTAGGCAATGGAGAAACCACTGAAACATCACAATGGAACAGTACAAACAGCACTGGAACAGAATGCTCAGATTCGTGATTTAGCAAGACGGCTCTGCGAGCTGCATGAGGAATGAGAGCAGGGGCTGGGGACGGAAGCAGGGACTGGCTAGAGGCCGACAGTCCAAGTCAGCAGTGAAGACATCCAGACCCAAGCTGTTGGTGCTAGACTGGAAAGAGGGCAGATTCAAAGTCAGTAGAAATGACAGGACTTGTTGGCCTTAGACTGGAGGTCTTGGGCAAGGGAAGAAGCAGGTACTGCTCCGAGGCATCCAGTTAGATAACTGTAGATGGTGGTGGCATTAGCTGAGGAGATGGGCTGGCACAGGTGACCGGGGGGGGTATGGATATGTTGCATTGGAAGTATCTGTGGGATATTTGGGTGGGATTTAGACAGATAGATCTAAGTTGCGTCCAACATAGACTATATTGACTATATAGGCAATATAGTGATCGATACTGCTATGGTAAAGGCAGCTAAGGAGGAACAATTAGAGTCTCACTGATGATCCCAGCTAGGGCAGAGCTAGAGAGAAAAGCCAGAATGCAGTGCCCTGGGGAGTTAGCAGGAGGTGAGACAGGAGACGCCGTGTATAGCCCTTCAGCAAACCACTGGACTATGCCAACAAATAGATACCTGATTACGCTGGAAGTTGCCCGACTCTTAATATATTCATAACCATTGGGTTGTACACTTGAAGTGGGTGAATTGTGTGGTATACGAGTTGTAGCTCAGTGAAGGTGCTCCAAGAAAAAGAAAGACCTAGGATGAGGGCTAAAGTAGACAAGGACAGAAGGTACGAGAAGTTGCTGAGCATAGTATAGGCTGAACAGCAGGAGCCAGTGGAAAGAGAGGGCTTTAAGAACCCTGTTGCGAGCTTCAGAAAGGAGAGACTGGCACCTGAGCCCAGGGCCGAAGGGAGCTTACAGCGCAGGCAGAGACAAGGAGCAGGTGGAGGTGTGTTTGGGGGGACTTGGAAGTTGAACAAGTGCCACAAATGGCTTTTATTTTCTCTGTGAAGTGGAGATAAGACTTCTGAGAGTGAAAAAAATCCATCTGTGCTGCTCCCCTGTCCAGCTGGAACCCTTTACTATGAATAAGAAGGTGCCTGGACATAAGTTTCTGGGCGGAAGTATTGAGCTGTGTTCCATCCGCACCCCATCCCCACCCCCAACCAACCACAGCCAGCCCCGAGCCTAGCAAAAGGCAGAGTCCACAGGCCACATCCTGACTGCTAACTGGGTTATGGCTTAACTTTAATACCTCACTTATCAACCTCTCTTAAACACAATTGAGTCTTTCTTCTACACACTGCTGGCCATAATGTGCCGTGTTTGCCAGAACACAGAACCTTTGATCAGAAACCTCTCCCTATTTTGGGTTCTGATCCCTTCTTGTTTTCTCTCTGTTCTTTGCTGTCTCTCACCAACTCAGGATCATCTCCCCTTCCCCTACAAGTATACAACATCTCCCTTGAAGACAAGTAAATAAAAATGACTTTGGACATCACTCCAATCCATCACTGAGCTCCTGTATCTTTAAATCGGTGTATTCTACTGGCAATGACTGACTTCCAGCAGAGAACTGGTGTTCACTAAATATTAGTTCCTTTTTCCCAGACCAACATCAGGACCAGAACTAGGGTGAGGCAAGCAAGGTGCCTTGGGCCCCCAGTTTCAGGAGTTATGCCTCACAGGGTGGTACAGGTACCTGACGGGAACTCACCCTGGGCTTATCGGGGCTGTGCAAGCACAGCGCCTGTGAGGGAAGTGTCCTTAAATTTTGCACCCTGGAAACCTCTCCGGCCTCACCGGAGTCCTCCCGTAGAACTCTCCTACTAGGCCCTGCCTACCAGCTCTGAGGTCCCTCATCCGGTTCCCCCCAACAACCGGATGTTACGTACTTAGGGGCTCTTTCGGGATCACGTGCAACATGATGGTCTTCCTGAAGGTCAGGCTGCCCAGGTGGATACTGCAGGTGTAGTTTCCTCCATCAGGCTCCTTCACTCCTTGGAGCATGATGGACCCATCGTTGCGGGAAATGTTCCCCACCAAGGTGACACGGTTCTGGAAGCGGCCCCAGCTCTGGGAGTACCCCACAGGTACACTGAGTTTGGGGAAAGAGCGTAACACAATCTCCTCCTGGAAGGGAAGGCAGAACATCCACGACTGCAGGGACTGGGGAGAGGAGGCACGGGGAAGGCTGAGGGGGGTCTCAGCACCCATAAGGCCCTGTATGTAGGCAGCAAAGGCATTACCAGAAAGTATTAGATAACAAGTCATGTACACACACGTGTGCAAGCATGTGTACTTGTGAAGGATGCCACGGAACCATGAAGAGCTGTTCATCGCGAGAGAGGGATGAGCAAAGAGGAAGGAAATGTGGGACTTTCAACTTTCTGCACTTCTCCAGTAAAAAGAAGTGAAGTCCACCTTCACATTTTCCTCAACTATATTTGCACTTGGATTTCTAATAGGCACTTGACACGAGTCTACAACTGAACTGCGAAGCTGTCCTCATATATGCATCTTGACAACCCTGAACATTGAGCAGCAGCAGCATCGTCCTCTCCTTCAGCATCAGCTTCATTAGGGTCATCTTTCCCAGCGGGAAGCTGGACTTGCCCAGCCAAGTGGCTGAGCCTGGAGGCCCAGTCCTGACAAGCTCCAAAGCCCAAGCCTTTGCGCCACCACCCCCTGCGCCCTCGGCCAGTCCCCCTGGCCTGGGGCTGTGACTCTGCAGCGATGGCTCCGCCTTACCTTGGAGCGCTTTCCGGGTGCAAACACCCAGTCCACCCTGGTCGTGCGTCTCTCATGGGTGCTCTGGAGAACACATCCCAGCCGAATCGAGTCACCCACCGGGACCATGAGCTCTGGGGATAAAATGGCAACTCGCGTCACACCCAAGATATAATCTACAAAGGCCAGAGCACTTCTAGAAGAGAGAATCTTTACCAAAGACGGTCGGCAGTAAAATGAATGTCACCTCCAAGTACCGTACACATTCCCTCCACAGAGGCCCCTGTGTTGGACAACATACTCAGAGGCCTCGCACGCAAACCAACACAACACCCGAGGGTAGGAGAATACGAATGCGCTCTAGCTACCCACACGCATGACGTCTGAGAGGTCTTGGTCTTTATACTGCAACAAACACTTTCTGACTCCCTTTAAGTCTCCTCTCCTTCTCCTTTTCCAGAATGTGTCCCAAGAGCCCCAATTCATATTTATACTGAAAGTTTAACTTCAAGTTTATACCGAAGTACAGAACATCGTGAAAGCCCCCACTTTCTGATCACGACGTGGATGCCCACATCTGCTCAACATCAACAGGAAGTGGAAAGTCATATATCTTTTGTTCTTCTATATAACGCACTGGCTCTCTGAGCTGAAAAACTGAATCACGGGGGACTTTCTTCAACTCGTTTTATTTTTTTACAAATTGCCTTAGGACTTGCTCAAGACAGTTCTGGCTATAGTACAGGTCACAGGACTCCTTGCTAATTAGACCAACACAAAAGATAGCTTTCCTCTTGACTTTTCTTCCTGTTTCAATCCCAGCCCCCAGCCCCACCCCCAACTGATCCCCCTTCCCGAACTGCTTCTGAGCTTCCAACTCCTAGGCTCTTCCTTCTGTTTATTTGGGTGGGTGTCTGACCCCACTACATGTCTGCTGCATAAGTCACTTCACAAGGTCCCTGAAAAGGAAAACAGTCAAGAAAGATGTCCATGATCTTCAGTGACGCTCTACGCAGACCAAGCACAGAGTCAGTTAAGAAATAACAAGAAGCCTGGTATTTAGAGCAACACACGCCTAGGTCTTAACCGGACAGGGTTCCTTCAAAAGAACATTAAGCAAAGCTCATGAGAGAATAAACACTGTGCATAAGCCGACCCTTTCATCCCAATCGCCTCCCTGGGAGAACATTAACTTCCTGCCAGGCAGGAGAGAGGCACAAAGAGGGGAAAGCAAAAGGAAATTATTATGAACTGGAAACTCCGTGGAGGGAATGACTTTGAAAGTAATACAGATTCACTCCAAAGAATACCAGCAGGGAAGGAACCTCCTCTAAATCTACTAGTACATGAAGAACTGAACTCTATTTTTTAAATGCAGAATAATAACTGATCATTCTGATCCTTTCGATGTACCAGGCACATGTTAGACGCCTTGTATGCAACAGAACACACAGTCAGTCCAATATTTTGAGATATGCAGTAGGACTCTGCCATTTTACAGAGGAAGTGAGTGAAGGAGCCCAAGGCCACATGGCCAGTAAAAGGTAGCGCCAGCACTCGAACCCAGGCCTCTGTGAAAACGAAGCGTAAGCTCTCTCACTCACGTACGGTACCACCTCTCGTAAGTGGAAGGATGGCTGGTTCTAGAGCCACAGTTAATATTATTTTTAGTTGTGAGCATATTGTCTATAGCACTTAAAATAAGAACTATGAAAAAAGGAATTGAGGTGGTCATAGAAAAGAAAAATTATAAACTGAGGTGCAAACTTTGTAGAGAAAATTATAGAGAGCTGCACAGAGAGTTTTCACACGGGAGAAAACCACCTCCATCAGGCAAGCTGCAACTGCCTGCTAGCCACGAGGCAAATTTTTAGGAGTTGGATCTAGTCCCCCTCTCGCTGGAGGGAAAAATAAATATAAGTTGCTCCCCTGGCTACTGGGGAAGTATCTGACCACCCCTAAAATTGTTCTAGCCTTTTCCACGGATTATTCAACTCTTTAACTGGCTCCTTTCAGTTCATGCCTTCCATGTCTCTTTTAGGCAGGAAAAGGTGCCCGTTGAGGCAGGCTGTGTGTGTATGGATGAGTGTTTGGGCATGGCACCCTGGGACAAAGCAGAAAGGGGTAGCCCAGAGATAATCCTTGGAGAACACAGGCAGCTGATTCATTTCCTTGTTCAAAAGAAACATAGCTTTGGAATCAAAAGAAAAAAAAAATGCCAATGGAAACAAAGTAGGAAAAATTGAGACAGGCTGGAGGCCACCTTCTACAATTCCTTCTACAACTCCATTTTTTAGAAACCAGATTCAAGTGAGGGATGCTAATACAAGAATTTCGTTCATTCAACGAACATTTATTGATTGCTGACTCTGTGTCCGCACTGTGCCCGGGGGCGGTCAGAGGACAAAGAACGCAGACCCAGGTGAGAGGGAAGACACAACTGAACGTGTGTGAGGGGTGCCACCACAGAGAACAGGGCACCCCTAAGGAGCTCGTGCCTGACTAGCTCCTCCATCAACCCCATGCCCTGTTCTCACCCCCTGCGCAGCCTCCCCGTTCCTTGGACCTTGAGGGTACTGAAGAGCACAGTTTTAAAACCAGTCACTGAAGCCACGCCCTCCATCACCAGATGGGAAAATGAGGTCCAAAGAAGTTCGAGAGATCCGCTCACTTCTTCTGTATTCCCCAGAACACTTAACATATAGGACCTATAAAATACGGACAGGCACCAATGTGGAAGTGTCAGGGTGCAATAAAAACAACAGGCTTTTTGTCAGACGTGCCAGGGTGCAATACCGAACGTGCGTTTACTAAGCATACGTCGTGTAACCTCTCTGGGCCTCAGTTACTTCATCTGCAAAATGAACAGAACAATGCTTCCTCCACAGCATTTCACGAGAACGCCTTTATGCTTCAAGTAATAACATACATATCGTCACTGCTGTTACGTGAAGAGCACTTTTTGAGGACTTGCTCTGCGGTAAGCCCCTAGCCCAAAGGCCGGCATTGCTCACCCGATCAGTTCCCGTCCCTCCTGCACACCAAACCTCACGCCCCAGTGCCCTCGTCTGAGTAGGCAGTCACGCACCTTTGGGCCCCTCGGGCAGCACGTACAGGACCACGGCCTTTTGAAACACAAGGCTCTCCCTTTCAAGGCGCATCGCGCACGTGTAGGTTCCTTGGTCAGCCTCTTGCACATCTTGGAGCAGGAGAGAACCGTCCTTGTGTGCGACGTCCCCCACCAAGCGCGCACGGTTCTGGAAGCGTCCCACAGGCACGCTGAGGTTGGCGTAGTAGTATAACACATAATCATCCTGGAGGGTGCACAACATCGGGGAAATCTAAGATCCCTGGCACCAGACCTGGGAGTCTGGACTCCAGAGACCCTGGTCTGTGCAGGCGGCAGAGTCGCCATTGTCACCGTGATCAAAAACCAGTGGGTACTCAGTTAATGAGGAGAACATCCGCCAGGCAATCCTTGCACCCGCACAAGGCTTTGTGGCTCATTTTATACAAATACAAATGGTGAAATGCAGTCCACACATTTTCATCTCTTACACTGAAGATAAAACGTAACACTCACTCTGGGGACTCACGCTCACAACTTTTGAGCCATCTCCCATCTTCACCCTGTCTTTCTGCCACGCCCTCCAGATCAGATGGCATTAGAGGCGTGATGCTTTCCACAGACTGGTAGCAAGACTTCTCAGCCTGTTGGCAGTAATACCTCGCCTCTCTGCCCTCCTGCAGGCAGTACATTGTAAGGCATGGGAAGGGGTCATCAGTAGGAAATGCTTTACAGGCTGGGAGGGGAGCCCTAGGGAATTCTTATTTCTACTTACAACATGGATCTATCTCTCTCATAATAATAAGCAGTACTAAAAATTTGAGTGAGAGTAGCATTACAGGAGTAAAAAACTCTGAGCTATAAAAAGAGTATTTCATTTGCAAACATTAGGACCTTTTTGTTAGTAATACATTACACAGGGCATATTTCACAGATGATCCTGACATACAAATATCTTCACAGAATGAGGCTTAATACACTTGTTTCTACCCCAGGAGCACCCGTGAAAGACCCTCACCCAGCTAGGCTGCACCTGCGATCCCAACACTTGAAGCAGCCCTGAAGGAGAAGGAGCAGATTCCCCAGCACATGAACGGAGCTGAGGAATGCCCGAAGAATCTGCTACCCACCCAACCCCGGCCCCACCCCCAAAAAAGATAACTGCGACATCAGTCTCCTGCCTAGGCCACAAACTCCTCTCTCTAGACCAACATTCTGTCACCCTTCTCCCACTCCCCACCCACCTATGCCACTAGTCTGCAAACGGCAGAAAGAGAGAAATGAAACAGGAGGAACTTTATGTGCATATCTGCCCTTAGCTTCTCAGGCACCCGAAAGTTAAGCATCCCCCTTATCATAATGACCTTCATCCTCACAGATGGGGAAGGTGAAGCTCACGGAGGTTGAGTAACTTGCCCAGCTGATTACACAGCCAGGCAGCAGAGCCAGGACGAGGCCCAGACTCTCGCAACGCTAGCTCTTGGCCCCTGATGACCGGATTCTCCCTCTCCCCACACCACCCCGATGCCACCGGCCAGGGGCTCCCACTGCACAGAGACGTCCCCGCCCCTCTTACCTTGACGTGCTCTCCTGAGAACATCCAGTCTACCTTGGTCACACGTTTCTCTTCTGTGCTCTGGAAAACACATCCCATCAGGGCTGAATCACCCACGTGCACTGTTAGCTCAAGGGAGGAGACAGTCAAGTCATTTGGGCCCAAGAAGTAACCTATAGACGTCAAAAGCAAGGAGAGACATCGTTTAGACAGACACCCCGACAACAAGGATCAGTACTGATCATCAAGAGCCATACGTCTCCCCTCCCCGATGGGCACGCATGGACAAAGTACTCGGGGCCCCTCCCTCAAGCCAGCAGGGCATCCCCAAGGGTGATGGGAGAACCACCCTCTAGTCACCCATTTGGCTTAAGCCAGAGGGTCCTGCTTTGTACAACGGAAATCCTAGCTCGCCCTTCCCCTTTCCCAGCATTCCTTTCCCCAATCTCCTTGTAAAGAAAGAAGAGAAACCCTGAAGTCCCTCTTTTGGGTCATGAATGCAGAGACACATAAAGAGGAAATGGGATGACTCTTTCTCTCAGTTTCCCACGAGTTCTCTACTTGAAAAACCAAACACAGGTATTTTTGCTTCCTTCCCTTTTCCCTTTAGTTCCCTTATGAAAGCTTATCTCTGCATTTGCTGGCTGTAGTGCCGGCCCTTGGTCCTTGCAATTCAGCCGACACAGAGCACGGCTCCCTCCTGGAGTCTCCTTTGTGTTTGCCCTCTCCCCACCTCCCACCCTCTGCTTCCGCCATCAGCCCTGGCTTCTCAGCCTCTAGATGTTTGCATACACGAGACCACTCCATTATCTATATGTCGCTCAAGTAACTTCTCTTTTCACTAAAAGAAAACACCATTACGTGGATATTTCTGTTTTCACAAGATATGCTCTATGCCAAGAAACACCAACATCAAGAAAGACTTTTAGATGCTGGCCAGTTAATATCAAAGAAGAGCCAAGTGAACATGAATGGGAATAAACAGAAATTGTGCCAGTCTTTTCATCCAAGCTGCAGCCCTGAGACAAGAGAGTTAACTTCCTGCCCAGCAGCAGGCACACCCAGCGGGGAACAGCATAAAAGAAAACCTGAACCCCGAGCCCTTTGGAGGGAATTATTTTGAAAGAAATCAAAATTAGCTCCAAAAATGATTTGGAGTTTTCCTATAAGGAAGAACTGAACAACTTCATGTGTGGTTAAAGGTCTAAGAAGCTAATTTAATATTAAGCATGCTGAATGTCAAAATCAAATGAAGATTTGTTAGAAAGCAAGAGCCGCAACTGAAGCGAAGAGAAGCTCCCACCTGACAGGTAACCTTTGTAGAGAAACGGCTGAAGAAAGTGAAGCTTTGTACAGAGGAGGAAAACCTCTCCAGGAAGGAATACAAAGCCCCCGACGCCACCCAGCATCTGCATAAGGGGTTGCATGGCTAACTCCCCAGATGGAAGGGCAAACCCCTCAAGCTACTTCACAGAGCTCTGGGGAAATGTCTAAACACCCTCCGAGATCATTATAACCCCGCTTCCATGAAAAAAATGTTCTCTAAGACACTGCGCGTGTGTGTGTGCGCGTGTGCGTGCGCACATGTGTGACGGCCTGCCTGCCTGCCTGTACACGCTCTGTTCCCTGGCAATTGAGCAAAAGCGATTGTCTATGTACTTTGCTGAGTCAGTGTTTAGGTCCCCATGCACAGTGAAAACACTAAAGATAAAGTGACGAGCAAAAGGTTATGAGAGCAAAAGCTCCAATTTGTCTTCTTACAGAGTTACATCCATGGTCTAAAGAGAATGGCAAGGGGGCCAAATGGATAAAAAAGAAGGAAGTGGAGTGAGCGGCAGGAAGCAGCCCTGAGCACTTAGGTTCTGTATGAACTGGAGATTCCAACCTGGTCTGGTCTGTGGTGGCAGCCACAGGAAGGAAGTATTGCTTAAGGGGAACCTGCAGGACTGGAAGCCTCAGGCAGGCTTCCTAGGGTAAGATGGGGAGAGAAGGTTCCAGGCAAAAGAAACCACCTGAAATTGTGAAAGGAGCTCAGTGCATTTGAGGAAATACGAGGTGCCAGTGGCTAAAGCATGAAGACAATTACAGGGATTCTGGGACCCTCTTTGGTAATTTCATCTTGATGTGAAACTAGCTGTAGTGTTAAAGGTAACAACTGTAAGCACAGTGATGCCAGAGAGAAACGTCCTTTGTGTCACACAGGAGGGTCCTCAAACACCCAGTCGGGACCCAGAGGCATTTCCTTTCCAAGAGAAACAGAAGGAAGGCTCAGCTTTCCAAGAAAGAGTCTGTTACCTGCTTCTAACACAGCTGGTTCAGCAAAACTATGAAGTTCCAGATTCAGGTTTCCATTTGCAATAAACCAAGGGGAAATGAAAGTATACAAAATTGGCTGTTGAAAATGCCTGGGACTTACGAGAAATCAAATACCCTCCTTGGTTCCCTTGGCTTCTACTCACCCAGTAACACTGGCACTAGCACGAGTTTCAGTGAGGAAAACATGCTGCTCTCAACTTTTCAATCTGGAGAAAAAAATCAGAAGACAATGTCAGGATAAGTTCATTACTAACAAACCAATAGTGAGTGGCTCTGTGGGCCAGCCTCCATGTGAGGACTGGGATGCAGTTTTGAATGAGAAAGACAAGATCCCCACTCACATACTGTTTGCATATGGGGGAAAAAGCAGCAAATGAATGAGTGGGAAAATAGCAGAGTCTAGTAAGTCTATGATGAACCAAAGTAGAGTGGTGTTTGGAGTCACTTGGGGGCTGCCTTCGATTGGCTGTAAGGGAAGATTAGATGAAACTTGTTGTTTGCGGGGGAAAAAAAGCAAATCATGTCAGGATACCCTGGAGATGACAACCCTAGACATTCTACAACCTAAGAGTTTCACATAAACAAAAAAGCTACAGGATACTCAGCCTGGTGTTTTTACTTCTCTCTCCAACTAACAAACATTAGCACTTTTAAACATAGGAAGTACGTTCAGGACATGTGGGAAAGGAGATATACAAATAAGGAGAAAATTTTAAACTCAGTTAAAGGAGTCACCAAGCTCTGTGACACAAGGAAGCCCAGGATGAGCTGTTTTCTTTTTCTTTCTTTTCTGCTTTTTTAGGCAGGGCCACATGAGGAGAATGAGGATTGGGCTGGGCATGGGCAAAAGTATTTTTTAAACATCTGTATTATCTCTGTTGTATTAATTTCACCGCCCCCACCAGCTCCCAGAAAAGGATTCGCTGTTCTGCACAGCGTCCTACGATTTTCTAAATGAAACAGAAGAAACCTAACTCCAAGGACTTCCAATTCAACCAGGCCTGGTTCCTACCTACAACTGTGGCTGGTCTCAGCCATGCATGATCCTGGCACCCCAAACATCCTGCCATTGGAGGAATTCCACCTCGGAACCTGCTAGGAGGAAACATCTATGCATTAACATCCTAGCACCCTACCCAGTTCTGCCCATATGGTGGCCATTTTAATTTGTAAAAAAAATGATTACCTAAGAGATTCCTTAACTGTATTCCAATCAATAAAATCCTCCATCTGGAAAATCAGGGTCAACCTGTTCAAGCAGTTCCCACCCTAGGTCCCACTTACGCAGAGAAGGTGGCTGGCCTTCTGAACCTCGGCTTCCTTGCCTATAACATAGGGATAATAATGCAAGGATCATGTATGATAATGTAGATACCATTGCTTTGAAAAAGAGGAAACATTATCACACAGATCCTTTTTTTTTTTTCCTAACCTAAAAGTCAGATAGGAAATAGAGTTTACAACTTCAGGGGAGATTTTGTGCTCTGAATGTCTACCTTCATAAGAATGATAAGAATGGCAAATGATGAATCAGAATGAACTGGAAACTTCCAAGTTTCAATTTTTTAATCTCACAACAACGCAGATAATGATTACTCTGACTCAGATATACCAAAAGCCACATTGTTTCCCCAAACATAGGCGCATCTAATGAAACCACAGATCTCTCTCAAGATAGCCACAACCCCATTCCTGCTCCAGGAGGCCCACCTCATGCCACATATACATGGCTGGGCATGATAAAGGGCTTCCACTACAGCCTGCCATAACGTTAATTCCTCTTCTCTGGGACATCTGAGGTCCCTGTCACATTCTAGATGAATTCTTCCCTGGGGAGCTGACTATGCCCCCTCTTTTGCCCAGCAGACAGCTCTTGTATATTCCCCAAATCAGCAAACCATTTGCATGGAGGAGTAATAACTGATTTACACATCTAGCCCCAAGCCCCATTCAGTTGGCATTCTCCAGGCAGGGCCACACATGCCCTGTTTGTGGGTGTCCTGGCCTGCGCTGCAGCCCGGTACAGTCCCTGGCCTCTGCTGAATAGCGCCGATGGCTCCCCTTATGACCATCAAATCAAAATCAACTTCGATATCCTTCAAGGGCACCACTCTGTTCTAAGAGGAAAACTGTGACCCCAAAAAGCGTCTGAATGTAGTCACCAAACTGCAGTCACTCAGTGCCACACCCAAACTATTTTCAAACAAATTCTAGGAAATGTGCAATCGGATAAATAGAAGATACACATTTTCAGTTCTAAGTACACAAATGCACTGTCAGAACTCTGAATGAGAAGCAAAGATTTAACAGACAAAGCATTGGATTGAATTTTTTAAAAATTATCTTCCCAGCCAGACCTTCTACTGGCAACTAATTCTTTGATTGTTCAAAAATCACTTGATCGCCCTGGACCTCATCCTTAACATTAAAGGATCAGACATTTTCCCCTTAGTTAGTACATCACCACACCAGAAATCAGCAGGTGATAGGCAATAAACTAGAGAAGGTTATATGCCAGGGACTGTCTGAGTGCTTCACACATCAACCTACTTAATCCTCATACGTCTACGAGGTTTTACAGATGAGGGAACTGAGGCAGAGACTGGTGAAGTGGCTTGCCTAACAGCACACAGCCAATGGCAGAGCCAGGATTCAAGCCCAGGCATTTGGGACCCCAGCCTTTCTCCTTACTACACTGTACTATGAAAGCAATTCATGTTGTACAGAAAAGCACCTGTGAACTGCACTTATCAAAACACGATTAATCTGCCCACCCACCCCCCTCCAACAAATGCTCTTCCCACCCACTTCACCTACCTAACTCCTATTCATCTTTTAGATCGCAAGTGAAATGTAATTTCCTCAGGGAAACCTCTCCTGAGCCCCTCTTCCCAGGTCGGGCTACTAGCCACCAGGTTTAACAGAATTATTTACCTTTCCTTTAGGGCATTTGTCACAATTTCTAATTATCTGTTTTTTTATGTGCTTGTTTGAGTAAAGTCCCATTCTCCACCTTCATCCCCCAAGACAATAAGTTCCACAAGGTCAAGCTCGGAGCCTAGGCACCACTTATGCCCAGTGCCAGCCCCCAGTGAACCCAGGGTGACAGCGGGTAACCACCTGCCAAATGAGCTCTTAACACCCAACAGGGTGAGTAGGCGCTTGTCAAGTTTCAGTTTCCTAGTCTGCTGGCAAATATTCAGAAATTCCCATCTCATATATATATATATATATATATACACACACACATGTGCATATACGGTATTTATAGATATATTGCTTAGATATATAATTCAGTATTTTATATGTGCGTGTAATATATATAATGTATGTGTGTATATATGTGCATATATGTATGTGTACATATGCATATGTGTGTATATATACATATATGAATCTAGTCTTTAAAAATCCAACCAAAGCGTTCAGATGTACCTTGAGCAGGATGATAATAACAGACTCCACTTAAATTCCCAACTTCCCTGCTGCCTCCTTCCCCAGATATTGACTTATCTCTCAGATGTTCTCGAGGTGATTCCACATAGGAAGTTATCTCATATGTTGACCAAACGTTTTGACTTGAACCCATGGCTCTTTCATAATATAATTCCTGGCAAATATCTTTTCTCAATCCTGGGGAGTTGTAACTGTCATCACCACCTTTCCTATTATTAATGGTGTAGAGGAATTGTTATCCTTGGCACAATTAGGACAGAAAAAAAAATCTTCAGAAAAGAGACTCATGACAATGAGAATAGCGCCCAGGATGTGAAAATGACCCCCTAAATGTTACAATATTACAGGGCAAAATACTGCCTTTTGTCCCAGTGTTTGCCCCTAGTAAGGACCACCAACCACTGTGCAGCCAGCCAGCCACACAGCCTTCCCTCACTTACGCAGCCACACCACCCGTGGTGCCAAGTCCCCTCAACTCACAGCTGGCTGTGGACCTTGGGGGAGGGGGCTTCAGATATTTGTAGGTATGTGAGTCCATGAACTGCCCTGAGGCATGAACCTCTTAAAATGAGTCCCCATTTTTCCTTCCAAGATCATTTAATGCAGGCTGGTGGGTTAGGTGGCTCCTTGTAAAACAGTCTAGGTAACATTGGTCAACCCTCTACTTGAAAGAGGTCTTGGAAGTATTTTATTCCTGTTCCCTCCTTCACACCAGATTGTACATAAACTGTCCTACATCAGTCTCTCGTGAGACCAGGGCCATGTGAAAAGTATGGACAACAGCCTAGCTCTCTGGAGAGGCTCAGGTCCTGACTTCTTAGAGGTTAGAGGTTAGCCTGTCTAGGATTGGGAGGAGACACAGTGAAGGGAGAGTCCCAACATGAGTTCAAGGACAGCTAGTCAGAGGCTCTACCTAAAGCCTCAGGCAACTTCAAAGCTACAACCTTATCATCATTCCACTTACTCTTTCACTAAGAGCACATCTTCTTCCTCTTTTCTCTGAGGACCTAGCAGAATTTCTACTCTACAGAAAGGACACCGGCACCCCCGAGACTGCCTCATGTGCCCCTGCAGAGGTTGAGAGGTCTGCGATTGTGGCCTCACCATCCAGAAGGACTGCAGGAAATTAAACCTTCAGAACCAGAGAAAGAGAAACGTTCAAATCACGGCTTAAGAAACACGAAGCAATTGCTTACCCGAGATGAGGAGCTCCCAGGAGAAGAAAGCACTGAACTCACCACAGCAAGCAGCGCCAGGGCTGACTGGAGAGACGCCTTGCAGCTCTAAGTCAGGCTCAGCACAAACCAAAAGTGTGCGTTCTCAAGTGGCTGCAGAGACACAAACAGGAACCTCTGAATCCAGGTTCTCCTTTCACTCATCTGGCCCATTACCCGTTGTTATTTATATTTTCATTCTAAAAAGGTAGCAAATTCAACTCATGGAGGAGAGACCCTCCTATTCCAGACTTCTGCAGGTGTCATCTGCCCTTTTAGATTACAAGCTCTCCGAGGGCGGGCTCTTGAAGGACAACAGGCAAACACTTGCTGAGCAAGAAATCAGTCTCATGCAATAAACACAATACATTTAAGATTAACACAAAACATTTTGCTCTGCGTTTAAAATATAGCAACCTCTCTTATTTTATTTCTTGACCCAGAGGTGCATAGCCAGGCAATCACCCAATCCCTGCTTCCAAAGATAATCCTTCCCAGTTCCCCCAACTCACCACCTAGACATGTTGATTTCCTCTGACCATGTGATATCAGCATCTCCAGAATCCAGGTACCATCTTATTCCCCCAGAGAATCCCTGGAGTGACCTGGACATCCTAGATAAGAACTCAAGGCTTCTTTACGTCAAGGTAGCTTTTGCTTTTAAGTCACCCCCTCAAAATAAGTGCTGTCAGGGTATATGCCTTCAGCCTTGGCTGGACTGGCTAGACCTACACATGGGCATACTTGTTTTTTGGAACTTACCCTGAATTATTTGGAAAGTTTTTAAATGCTTGTTCAACAATTCTTAAGGACTATTCTTCATAGTTCTTGAGAAATGTTATGCTGGTGAAGCTAGCAATTCACATAAATACTCCCACCATGGCCTATTTCAAGCTACCAACAGTTTAACGATGGGCTTGTAAAAATTCCTAAAAATTTAGCAGTCAGCTCTTGCCCCGTGAGCTGGCTCCAGAGCACCACTGCCTCTGTGCAGGTTCCCGCTGGGGTACAGCTCAGAGATGAATGGCTGCTTGATGGTAAAAACCACAACCCCTCTCTTTCATATGACAGCTCGCATATGCAGACAGACATCAAAAAGCAGCCAGAAAGAACAAAGAAGTTTATTAGCTATGATGCAGTAAAGATATCAAGAGGTACGATGTCTGTGCATATGGCCCAACAGTGCACACACTCCTAGCAAAACACACCAGTGAAATGCTGCAGCAAATGGTCCAACAGTCCGACAGTGGGGCCAAAAGGATGCAGCTGCCTCTTCTGGCAGCAAAGTCTCAGGCTGTGCAATTAAGTAACAGTCGTGACCCACTCCATCTGGGCCTTCTTAGGGGTCCCCTTCGGAACCATGACCAGATGACACACGGAACATCCAGATTCAACATCTGGCCTCCAGAACTTTGTGTTAAACAGGAACATGCAACATTCCCTCTTGAAGCACCAGTGCACAACGTGAGGAGCTGCAGAGAACTAACCTGTCCCCCAAGAAGCCTGAGGTAATGGCCACATGGGAAACACAAAGTATTTTATAAATTCACATTTGTAACAGAATTAAGCACTCTATGCACAAAACTTAAAAGGTAATGTAACTACAGGTAAAGGCTTCAGCAGCCAAAGAAAAATTCTGAAAAGCCTTTAACCCCTTATGATGCTTTCAGAATTAAATTCCCTTTCTAGACAAAGCTGGTCTCCGTACTATGTGCTAAGGACATATGGAGCAGCAAAAAGAAAAAGAGGGAGGGAATAGCACCTTAGAAGATATTAAAACAGTAGGTTAAAATAACAACATTTTATATTCCTTCCATCCTTAAGAAGGCAGGTGTCCAAACATTGCTTTGTGCTGCTAGGAAGAGAAAAAGATGTAATCCAGTCCTCAGTGTAAGGGATGAAGAGGAGACTGACAGCAGCCTTATGACTGTGATGTGACCACGAACCCACGGAGCAGACTCAATTAGCAACTTATTCTCTTACCATGAAAGGCTCTCTTGTTCAGCATTTAAAAAGGAAGGGACTGGTTCAATTGGTTCAAATCATGCTCAGGTCTATGAAATAACACGACTAAGTATTCACACAGCACCATTTACCTAAAGCGACGAACACAGCATACTGGATTAATTCCCCTAACATGCCTGAAAGGAAATTACAAGAAAACCTAGCCAGACCAGGCTCCTCAGTTAACACAATGTGGCTCTAACTGGGTTCCCATAACACTGTCTTTTTCTCAGGGAAATAAAGACCCATAAAAACAATCTGCCTCACAATTAGATCTCTATCTCCAAATGGCCAAGATCTCAAATCATTTATTCTCCCTGCTCAAATTTGTTTCCTTTCCCTGTGTGGTGATAGACGGTCTTACCAGATTGGCCTCAGACAGCCAAACACATAACAAGTAGCCCAAGACTATGAGATTTAACCACTGCAGATATAACTGCTCATCCTGTCTTCATCTCATCTACTTCCTTATATAACCAGAGGTAAATCAAGTCTATTAACTAACCAGACTCTCTAATCTTTGGGCTACATTAGTAGAAGATGCCAGTCCAAATATTTATCATTTTCTTGAAGTCTTTACTGATGACTTCCAGAACTAATAACAACCCAAATTTTTTAAAAGACATCTTGGCAAAAATATACAAGTAATTTGTCTATAACATGTACATTGTATTGTGCTATCATGTGGGAACCTCCTGAGCGACCTAGTAAAGAATCACAGACTATTTTGTTGAAAAACCATGGTAGGAGAGCATAATGCTAGTCTCTTACAATTGAGAGGTGAGCTCTATCACTCTATGCCATCAATCTGTCCTGACATGTCACATGTATTTCTTAATGGTTTATGGAAAACCCCATGTAAGTTAAAATCTGAGATAGATTGCTGTAAGAAAATGGAGGAGGCTGACGTAAGGTACTGAAGAACACAAAGGGGAAGCATAGGTTACACACCACCTCACTTCCTTGTCTCAAATACTATGTAAAACCAGTTCGTAAGTATCTTAGTTCACTCATACATGACACACTTTAGAACTCAAAAGTTTTGAAGAATAACACAGGTTAAAAGATGATTTCACTGCAAGTAACTGGTAAAATAGCCTTCACATCCCCTCTGAGAACCTTTCTAAGAGTTTTTCTTGCCTCTGATCTAAAGAGTCAAGGAGGAAACCATACATCATCAGCTGTAAGAAAGTAAAGTAACAAATTTTGCCTAGGAAGACAAGAGAAAGGAATCCCTCCACTTCATCGTTGCTTTCCCTAATTGTAAACTGATGACACCTTAATACTTTAAAATCCTGATCAAGGCAGACCCCTGACTCCCAATCTTACCAATTCTACAGAAAAATTAGGGTTATATCCTCCAGGTCACCCAAACACAACTGATGGTGAGATGACCAAACCAGTGGTACAGGCTGTGTGCTGACCCACAGCCTAAGGTGCTCAGGTAGCAAAATACAAAGATACTCCTCCCAAACGTCTGGCCTTGCAGCACATCAGGAAACTCCAAGCCCCATTTCATTTAACAAACATATTTTGGCATGAGCAGTATGGCCAGCATTTAGAATTCTCCCTCAAAGAATTGGAAGAAAACGTGTAATACATTCAAGAGTGAAGACAAAACAAAACGTATCTTTCTATTCAGGAAAAGAATTCCTTCAGTCAATTAGAGCATGAGCTACTAAAAGGGGTAGTTCTGAGTCTCTTCTGAGAGTTTTTGAACAGTTTATAAATACGAAAAGAGCATATTTTCAATAAATAAATGGTTCCTGAAGTCTTTACTGATAACTTCCAGAATCTTCCATCATGCTCTCCAGGCCAGCTCCACTTCTCAGAGAGGCTTCAGCTGCCAGTGGAATGGGATTATGTTCTGTTATTAGGTGACTCCTCACATCGTGAAGACTTTCATCAGTACATCTCTTCATAGTCTGAATCCTGGAAGAGAAAGAGCAGGAGCTGTGGTGTATGTATAAAGTACAATGCCACTCAGAATTCAGTGGAACTAGAGGCTGCTGGGCTAACTTCTGTTTTGAAACTCTAAGGGTTTCATTTTCCTTGGTGAATACTTTTTAAAACACACATGAAAAGGTGCCTGTCCACAGCAGAAGGTACAGGGTTGTGGCTAGGAGTTCGGGCCCAGAGTCAGTCTTGCTCTGAGTTCCAATCCCAGCTGCACATCGGGCTGGTTGTGTGACCTTGAGTAAAGTTATTTAGCTCCTCTAAGCCTCAGCTTCCTTCTCTGTAGAGCAGGAATAATAAAAATACTGATACCTCACAGAGTGGCTCTGAGCAATGAATGAGACCATGTATGTAGACCACTTAGCACTGTGCCTGGAATTTTGTAAGCACCCATTCAAGATTTGTTACTATTACCATTATTCTTATTCATTTCTATTACTCATACCTGCATTTATTACTTCTAACCTCAAGTGGGCTATGGGTACCACCTGGCACACCACCTGTCTCTGGTCCATTCGCTCTCCTGTTCTCCCAGATGACTATTTCATACCTTCCCCTCTTCCCTCGGATCTCCAGCACTCTCTCCTCACTTCACCCTCAGCTGATGACCATGCTTTTTCCCACCGCTGGGAAAAGAACAGCAGGGAACTTGCACAAGCTCTCCTCGCCCTCTTTGCCCGCTCACCTGCATCAGAGCCCATCCACCTGGCCTTCTCTACTCTTAGGGATACAGTCTCCCCACGTCTATCTAAGGTCAGCGTCTCCACTTGCGCTCCAGCAACCCTCCCCTCTCTCTCCTGCAGTACCAGCCGGCCTTTCATACTGGATCATTCCCACCAGCATACAAATGCGCTGACTGCTCCCACCTTCAAAAGAAAAGCAACTCCTGACACCCGCCTCGCTCTACCTCTTGCCCTATTTCTCTGCATCTCTGCAGGCAAACTCCTTGAAAGAGCTGTTTACACCCATACCCGGACACATCTCCCTGTATTCTTCCTTCACCTTATCCCCAGCAAGCTTTCCTTCCCGCCCCTCTGCTGAAGCCGATTTTGTTAAGATGCCCAGTGACCTCCACGTCACCAGATCATCCAACAATCGATTCTCAGTTCTCACTTCACTTGACTGGGCTCAGCAGCAATCGACAGAGTTAATCACTTTCTTTTCCATGCAACACTTTCTTTACTTGGCTCCCAGGATATTAAACGCTCCTGGTTTTCTGCCGCACTGGACATCCCTCTCAGCCCCTCATTCCTCTTCGGCTTTCCAATCCGTCCACCTTGGAGAGCTCCAGGGCTCAGTCCTTTGACCTCTCCTCTATCTTCACGTACTTCCTTGATGGAAACATCTCCAACAGCACACTCCTGGGGATACGCTCTCCCTGCTTCTCTCTACCAGGCTCTCCCTGCTAACGACTCCTAAATTTCTATCTCCAGTCTAGACCCCTCTTCTGGTGTCACGTCTTATAGCCAACTGCCTCCACCGCATCTCCACTTGGATGTGTGATAAGGATTACAAACTTAAAATATCCAAATTCAGCTCCTGATCTTCCTCCTAAAACCTTGCACAAATTAGAAAATGGCAACTCTACCAGTTGCTCATGTTAAGCAAAAACCCTGGAATTATCCCTGACTCCTCTCACTCTTTCACATATACATGAACCCTACCCATAAATCCTCGGGCTTATCTTCGCACCATCTCACCACGTCTGCCACTATCACCCCAGCTCAAACCAACAACATCTTCTCTCACCTCCATTACCACTAAAGTCTCCTAATTGGACTCTCAGACTCTATCACAGCCCCTTACCACCTGTTCTTAACACAACAGCCAAAATGATCCTAGTAAAGTCCTTCTCTTCCCAGAAACCTCCATTGAATTGCATTTCATTTCATTAAGAATAAATGTCTGATCATTCCAGTCATCTATGGTGTTCTGCAAGACATGGCATCATCTCTATGATATCAGTGAATGCTGTTCAATTCGTTCCTGCCACTCTGGCCTCCTTGCTATTCCCAGAACATGCCACTTACGCCCCCTCCCCACAGTCCTGGTGCCTACCATTTCCTCTGCCTGGATTGCTCCTCCACAACAGCCACATGGCTTGCTATCTACTTCTTTCAGATGTTTGCTCAAATACCATGTCAGTGAGGGCATCCCCAGCCATCCTACTTAATATCATAACCCCTATCCGGTCATCCTATCTCTCTTTCCTATTTTATTTTTCTCTATAACATTAAGCACCATCTCCTATACTATATGTTTTACTTACTTTTAAAAGATTCAGTTGTTGTACCCCAATTTAAGAGACATTCTAGCTGTGTCTTCAAGGATGAGTTTTCCAGGTATGGGAAGGATGTTTAAGTTATTTGAAGGCAGACAATTCTGTCAGTGTTGTTCACTACTGTTTCCTAAGTCCCTAGAATTGTATCTGGCATGTGTCTGATGCTCAGAAAATAACTGTTGAATGAATTAATATCTGAAATGTGAGTAATAATCATATGGACATTAACTTACTTTTTATTGTCAAAATACTCAAACCCCAAAGGGTTGGTATCAGATCCTCCCCATTGGCACGATCAACCTTACCTCGTCCTACCCACTATACTCAAGTACACGAGATGACAGAGAGCACCGCGATGAGTGACCAGGCTACAGTCACCCAGCCAAGTGCTAAGCTCGGTGGTCAGCACAAGAGGCCTCAAGTCTAAACCCGGCCATGAAGGGTGTGCTTCACATTAGCTCATAAGTCGCTTTTGACCTGTTTCCAGCTGCACCACATCAGAGAGTCTTTCCTCCTCCTGGGAACCGGACACAGCCACCTACCAGTCACAGCAATTGCTCAAAGGGGGACGGATGACGGCCTTTTGAAATTTATATCAAAACTCATGCCTTCCAATGTGGGTATTTTGTACTGATAAGGCCACAATCACCTAAAGGGTCGTGCCCCTCTGATTCCCTGGAACCGAGTCACAGCAGGAAAGCTCCATCAGGGCTCAAGGGCCAGCCAGTCTCCTCCTGTGACCTCAGAGGCACAGGATACTCCTGCTTCAGGAGTTCTGTTAGTCGGCAGACAGCTCTACACAGTCCCCTTTCCTAGCCTAAGGAGCCCACTCTAAGCCTATGAGACAGAAAACAAAACAATGGTTAGAACTGGGAGGGTCCCCTGGGCCCAAATGCTCTGGGGGAAGACCCTGGCTCACAGCGTGCTGTGGCCCTGCTATCCCCTGAGGCAAAGGTTCCCCTTAGCGAGCAGGAACTGAGACCTGAGCGGTGAATGGAAGAAACCGTGGGCTTACCAGGCATTCGGCACAACGGACACAGAGCCTCGCCACACAGCCGCCCTCCTCCTCCTGGTCAGTGCTGTAGAAAGAGGACAAAGCGAATCTGAACAGTCACTGTCTTCAGTTCAGTGGTGCAGCTGAGAGCGCAGCACTAAAGTCAGATGGGTCTGGTTTTAAATTCCAGTCCTACCGCTCACTAGTAGGGTGACTTGGCAAATTACTTAAGCTCTGGAACCCATTGCCTCATCTATAATATGAAGATATTACAACTGGGCTTAAAGGATAGTGGTTAGGAGTAAATAAAAAATACACACATGCTTCACTGAAAAAAAAAAATACAAGCATGCAAAACACATACCACGGTCCTGACACATGATAAATGTTCAATAAATAGGAGCTAGTCACAGTAATTAACTTAGAAATGTCCTGAGCACCAACCATTTCTAAGGCATCGTGCTGAGCTAGGGATAAAGACACAAATAAAACATGGTCCCTTGAAGAGCTCACAATCCCAGGGGTTAGAGACCTGTTACAACTCAACAAGCATGTTACAATACGATGTGATAAATGTTTTAAGAGTTAAGGTCAAACTGCTGTGCCAGCAAAGAGGAGGATGACTAATACTCCCCAGAGACTCTGGGCAACTCAAGGAAACATTTCAGACGGGTCGTGGAGGATAAGGGAGAGTTTTCCAGGCAAAAAAGGGAGGAAGGAGGGAATTCCATGTGAGAGAAGAACATGTCAGGGGGAGAAAAAGATTGAATGAATGTTGCACGCTTAAAGAAGGAAATAGGCTCTCTGCAGCTGCTATGTGGAGCTAATGAGAAGAAACGGCAAGAAACAATGTGACTAAGGGTTAGATCATGAGGGGTCTTGTCAGACCATGCTCAGAAATAGACATTTTAGTATCTCTACCAAGAGTTCTTTACCTTTTGGGGGGGCCACAGATTCCTTACAAAGGGTACACTCTCTCCCATTAAGTAAATGCAGATGCGTGTGTGTGTGCACACAGAAAGCTTTAGACCCTCTCAAGGTAAGACTTTCCTCCCCAGGTTAAAAACTCTTGATATAAACAATGGAGAATCAACAGGGTTTTTATGTAGACTTTTGTTACCTTTTTTTTTTTTTTTTAGTAGATTTGTTCTGAGGGAAAATACTGGATCATGCCTGCTCACTGGCAAGATGACGATTGATGAATGCCTTTGATAACCACAATCCAATCAGCCCCTTCAGAGCAGCTGCCAACCAAGACAAGCTCTCCTGCTTATGTAAATTGTTTCTGTGCTTCACAGCTATTCTTAGAGCCTCTCTCATTGCTCAGGCATTTTCTATCAGGAGACATCAGCTCAGCGCCAGAACAAGGAAAAGGGAGAAATAACTGGCTTGCTGAAATTTCCTGTTCAGTTTGAAGGAATGAGAATTCCACTTCAGAATCTCCTATCAGAACCATAGCCCTGCACAATCTGATTTCCAAAGCAGGAGACGAGGACCCTACTAGCAATCCCTCCATCTCCCTCTCCAAATTAATGTCGACAAGTTTCACTTTCAACCTTCCTTCTGGGACCCCTCAGCAGAATCACTCGGCCCAGAAGAAAGAAGGGTGTGCAGGCAGCGGTCTGGGCGCTACCCACAAAGCAGGGCTCTGAAGAGGAAATGAGTCTCCTGCTCAAGGCTCCAGCCGCACTTACTCATCGGAGACCTCAATAGACGACTTCTTGTAGCCAGACTTGCTCCTCTTCTTCAGCCCCACAGACTTCCTCCCCATCCTCACCAGCAGCAGAGCAACCACCACAGCTGAGGGAATAAAGACAAGGATGGAGAGAAGGGCCACGGAGGAGAGCAGGGTGCCAAAACCTGGAGGGGGAGAAAGAGGAGGTAAAAGAAAGGGACGCACGAACGTGTTACCTTTGACATGACGGGTTTTACATTTGGTTTTACAAATGCTCTTGCATTTCTTCTCATTGCAAAAGGAATAAACTCATTGTAGAAAAGGTAGAAAATACACAGAAGTAGAAAGAAGAATAAAAATGTACCCATAATCCCACTGCCTAGGATTAACACACTGGCTATCTGCCCATTCGATCTTTCTTAGAGTATGTGGCTACAGGCCTGCATATAGGGAGCAGGGCAGGTGTTTTTAGAAATATGGATCTTATATTATACACTATTTTTAACCTCCTTTCTTAGTTAATATATGATGTTCTCCATTTTATTAAAAATTTCTTCCAGACTTTTTTTTTAATGGTTGTCTGTCTATTCTACCATACTGAATAATTCATTAAATCAGTCTTCTGATGCTGGACATTCAAATTGTTTCCAATTCTTTGAATCCATAAGTTATATTATGATGATCATCCTTGTATATAAATCTCCATATTTAGTTCTATTTATGATAAAGCTTTAAAATGAAATTACTATATCAAAAGACATATACTCTTAAGGTATCTGATTCATACTACCAAAATATCTTCCAGAAAAACTATACTAATTTCTACTCCTGCCAGCAATGCAAATATGCCTAATCTTTGAAACCTATGAGTTATTGTTGGGAGGAAGGGAGGGAGGGAGAAAGAGAGACAGACAGATTTGAGAAACGATAAGGCATCTATAATGAACCATAATGCCCTTGTGTATCTCTTAAGTTTTTGGTTCATATCCAACTAAGGACTAAAATGATCACTCAATAGTCACCAGGAATAATGTAGGGGGAAAAAAGGCCAGTCCTCAACCTACTTTCTTCTGGTCTCACACTGCAAGAAAACTGCTGCTCTTTGCAACATAAAAGAAATGTGCTGCCTCCCACCATTAGAGGGGACATCCTCTCAAGACACAGGCAAGAGCGTTGTCTCATGACTGAGGATATGAACATATTAGGGAAACCAGAAAGACTACTGCACACAGATAACAACCCTCCATTTATTCAGGGTTTTGCTGCCCATTACCCAAGACCTTTGGTCACCTGAAGTTAAAATTTAAAAAAGATAATGGAGGAACTATGACAATATTTGAAGAAAAGCTTCAGTTTGCAAAATAAAGATTAAAAATCCATCTTAATAGGCAATTCAGAATGGCAGAATGTTCCAGAGACCAACTGGTTTACAAAGATAGGTAGCTTTGCTTACCAGTGATCTCTCCAGAGAGTCCCTGCAGAAGAAGGCTAGTGGCTGTGAACTTACCCCTTTCGGTGACCGTCAGCTCTGTCAAGGGAATATTATGGTGCACGTCTGGAGGATTCTTCACAGCACAGCTGAACGTCCCATTGTCCTTTATGGTAGGGTTGCTTATGCTTATGGAGGCATCCCCTTTATACACATCTCCAACCCAGGAAATTCGATCCCGAAATGTGCCTGCTGTGGTTGGGTACTGGAAAGACTGATAATGAAAAATCTAAGAAGGCAACACAATGAGGAAGAAGTTAATTAGAAGAGTGCAATGAAAATTTAAGCTAAGCAGGTCCAAATAAGATGCAATGTACAATTGGTTTTCTAATTTGGGGTCTTTTTTTTAGCTTTGTTCACCTCCATCCTGTAGATTAAAAGACAGGTGAACTTATAATAAAAAGATCGATGAATCCTGGATTCTTAACTCTTGAACCTTTTCTAAATTCTCCCTCAAGCTCTAAAGCAGTAGTTCTCAAGCAGGAGCAATTTTGACCCCCAGGAAACATTTGGCAATATCTGGAGATATTTTTGGTTGGCACAGTCAGGGAGAGTGCTACTGACATTGCTAAAATCCTCCAGTGCATACGACAGTCCCCCACGACAAAGGACTATCCAGTTCAAAATATCAACAGTGCCGAAGTTGAGAAAGCGTATTCCAAAGGAGCATCTAATACTTGCATAGTACTCTGTGGGCTGGAAATGATTTCTACACATTTACTCACTTGGCCCCATAACAACACTGAGCTACACACGGGGCAGGTATAATTATTCCAAATGTATAGAAAGAGAAACACAAGGCCAAGAACAAAAACTTAGTGAGTTACTCAAAGGCACACAGCTAGTAAGCTGGAAAGGGGAGGCTTTTGTTTATTCCCAAAATCACCAGGAAAGTATAATATAATCAAGCCTTTCTCAGGCTTTCTGTGTTGGCAATTAATAAAAACCCCAAACCAGATGAATTCAGTGAATGTATGTTGAATTAAAATGATGCCATTTCAGACTGGTGATCAAACACATCATCAGAAACACTCAATTATATCTGTGTACCTCTCTACCTCTCTCTCTTCCATTTTCTTTCTTTCTGCCTACTGGGAACTCCCCCTGTAGGAACCCAGGCACTAACAAACAACCATGGAATTGCCCAGTTTTGAACAGCAACTTCCCAGAGAAGAGACTGAATCACTTACTGGCTCACCTGTTCATGCATTTATTCAACAAGTATTTACTGCACACGTACTATGTGCTTTTATGGAATTTTCAGTGTAGCGGAAAATATATTTTTTTATTAAGGTATCACCAATATACACTCTTATGAAGGTTTCACAAGAAAAACAATGTGGTTATTTCATTCACCCTTATTATCAGGAAAATACAGATTTTAGGAATATATGTGCGATAAGTATTCCAAAGAGGAAGGTAAAGAATGCCTACTGCTAATTATCAGCAACAGTATGAAAGAGTTGGAAACTTCTTACTGACAAAACAAGGCCTGCTGTGTGTGTAGCTTCAGGATTAAGCCAACCTGTAAGTCCCAGGTTAAGTGAGTAATACTCAAATCCTGGCTGCTTAGTCTGATGGAATCCTGAGAGACCACGTCACTGTGACATCTTGTTATGTGACTTCAAAGGCCCACCAGCTCCAGCTGGGGGAACCTGCCGACTCTCTGTCGGCCTCACAGAGGACAGCACCGCAGGACCCTCGCGGTTTGCAGTTCAGGTTTCTGACAGAGACGATCCCCACGGCTCGCTCTGTCCTACTTTTGGCCCAGCAGGTAGAGCCAAATCAGGCCAGCCACGGCTTCCTGGCCACTCAACATCAAGTGAACTACTTTAAGTCTAGCGAAAAAGGGACCATGAAAGGAAGAAAAAAGAAGCCCGGCTTCATTCACTGAAGCCACCTACTTTGCTCCAAGCTACGTAGCAATCAACAATGGCTCGTATAACAAAATCCAGAACTTAATACATTAAAATCAAAGACAAGGTTTTCCATGGAAGGATAAACAATCAAGGATACTTTTAAAAGTACGATCTTTGCATACAGCTATGCCATTCAGCTTCTTGATAGCATCTGTTCTGACCCAAGGATACTGCTGGAAGCATGAAGACAGGTTCTCTATAGCATTGCAATCTTCAATTAGACATCCACAATGGGATCTGAGCCATAAATGTGTTTTATATGTGTGCCTAAAGTATATTGCTTCTAATATTGCAAGGCCATCTGTCACCAACAGCATCTGTTATCAACACAAGGTGCCACCATTTCCTTCAAAGGGAGCCATATAAATCAAGGCAGACATTTATACACTGGAGGGAGAAGATGCCAAGACAAACTGCAGAGTACGATATACAAACAGATACACCCACTGAGACAACTTCAAACAAGAGGAAATGAGCGGCTTTTAACACGATATTTATGTTGGGGCCTATAGAATTTTTCTATCCAACAGTCCTGGAGGTACCTTTTCAATACAACAAATCTAAAAACAAAGCTATGAAACCATGCCAATCAACAACAACAAAGGGGAAACAAAAGCAAAACACATTTCCTCTGCGTTTCTGACAGGTTTTTTTCCTACTTACAAGATTTACATAGAAGAATAAACAGACCCTGTGACCAAATCACTGGCACACACAGTGGAAGCTCATCTTCTGTCCCAAGCTGGGAGGGTCTAAAGCGTGCCTGGGACTTGGAGTAAAAGGATTCCAGAGCTGTTGACCACACAAGACTCAAATTTCCATAAGAGTGTATATATATATATATATATGCTTACTGATTCTGTGCGGCTGCTCCTAGGAGGGCGGTAGGTCCAGTCTATGGTGAGTTTATCAGTGACAGAGAAAGTTGACTTGAAGGTGCATTTCAACTTGATCTTTTCTCCAACATAACCCCAGACATGAGCATCTGCTTTAATCTCCAAGGAGAGGACCATGTGAACACCTAAACAAAGCAAGCCCAGACATTTCAAATGTATTCACTTGGGCAGAATATACAGATGGTGAGTGAATAATATAGAGACACTACTGATCATTTTTAAGGCTCTCATGAAAAACAAACACAGCAATAATGTCTTCCCAGGCAGGCCCAACAGGACAGGGAGTGGATATCTGCATTAGTCAAAGGCAGTATTTTTGTCATTTCACAATATTAAATCACAGCATGGATGCCCGGGTCAAAATTTAAAATCTGATTATACCAGCGTTTTTCCAAATACAGAGCTGTGGTTAAATTAAGTACAAACAAGTGGGTCTGCCCAGAGCCGGCTGAAAGGCAATGCCATACACTCATGTCACACACGTACCCCGGGAAGGTAGCGGCTCTTGTGGTCCAAGGGACACACCCCAAGTACAGCACAGTTGTAAGCTGGAGCTACCACTGCCTCAACCAGCAGCAAAATGGGAGCAGGAAATAAGGATGGGGAATTTTTTTCAAAGAATTTTTGAAAAGTTTTCCAAGGTTCTATCTAGTTTCATTGTATTTTTTCCTTTAGTAAAGCTGGTTAATGAATCGCACATCCACTAAAATGGGGAGGAAAACAGAACAATTTAATGCATTCCAAAATGTAAACGGATCATTTTTTTTTTTTGAGAGGGCATCTCTCATATTTATTGATCAAATGGTTGTTAACAACAATAAAATTCTGTATAGGGGAGTCAATGCTCAATGCACAATCATTAATCCACCCCCAGCCTAATTCTCATCAGTCTCCAATCTTCTGAAGCATAATGAACAAGTTCTTACACGGTGAACAGTCCAAGGGCAGTCATCACAGAAACTTTCGTTTTTGATCACTCATTATGAACTATAGACAATCAGGTCAATTATGAATATTCGTTTGATTTTTATACTTGATTTATATGTGAATCCCACATTTCTCCCTTTATTATTATTATTATTTTTTTTTAATAAAATGCTGAAGTGGTAGGTAGATGCAAGATAAAGGTAGAAAACATAGGTTAGTTAAACGGATCATTTTTTAAACTCTCTAGAGACCAATCCTTTTCATAAACCACCTCATTTAGCCAACTCTGACATTCCATCCCCCCAAAAGAGCTGGCGCTTTGGCCAATCCCCTCTGCTGTCAGAGAGCAGTGACTAGAAATTCATCTTCCACTACGGAGCCATTTTAAAGGAAAGTCACCAACACTTTGTCTTTCCTGCTTCCTTCTCCACTGCAATAAGCCATGATTCTTCTAGAAAACCAGAGGCAACCAGAGCAGTGAGGTTTCAGAGGAGAGAAAACCCACATGCCACTCTGAAAACCAGCAGTCCCTCCCCTCCGGTAGGGGCAGGATGTAAATCCCAGCCCCATCACTTGCTGGCTTTGTGGTCTTAGCAAATTTTACTTCTTCAGTTTCTCAGCGGGGTGGAAATGCTAATGAGTGCACTTCCCTTAGAAGATCACTGTGAGGAATCAGTGAGCTAAGACGTGTACCCTGAGAAGCCCACTTAACCCAGAGTAGGTGCTCAATGCATGCAGATAGCTTCAGCATTAGTACCGCCCCCTCTTCAGTATTACTTACCCTCTCAACCTTTCCTATCACAGACACAGTAACGAGTCATCGATTCCGCTGCCCTTTCCTCCACCTGCTTTGAATCATTTTTCTTGCTCCTCTCCTGTCAGTCTAGTCTGCTCACATTCCTGTTTGAAGGAGTAGCTCCAAGACTGAGCTCACAACTCTAATAAGAATCTGACCCATCCCAACGCTGAGGATTACTTCTGGTTCATCCATAGCACCTCTCTGATGCTGCCATGCTAAACTTGACCTTCTATGACTCTGCAGAGGCTGTTCCTCTGCCTGGAAAGCCTTCATCCCTCCACGCCTACTCTCTCCTAAGCCCTCACCTTACTCATCACTAGATCCAGCCCTGGAAACTGGAAGGTGGACATGAGTGATAATCCATACTCTCCCCATACCACATTCCTTCACCCTAAAACGTAAGGATAGTAGAGAGATTTAAAAGCATGGATTTACAATTAGACAGACCTGGACTCCAGTTCTAGCCCAGCTACTTTCTAGCTGTGAGACCTTGATGACAGTGACCGAACCTATTCCAGCTGCAATTTCCTCACCTGGTAAACAGGGACAACGAGACCTACTTTGTTGGGTCACTGTGAGGATCCAATGAGATAACACATAACAGGCTTAGCATCTGAAATAAAACCTTTCAATAAATATTAGCCATTATTATTAAAACGAATGCCACCAACATGCAGAAACCTTTAATAATTCTCTATCGGGCTATAGAACAAAATCCAAAGAGTGACAATCTGGCCCCAAACTTCTGCTACTCCATTCACCTACCCATTCCATCCCCTTCACCATGCCCAGAACATCCTGCCATTTCCCTAATTTATGTCCTTCCACGCCACTGAGCCTTCCTTTAAATATGTCTTAGTCTGAAAGGTTCCCCCCATTCCCACCAATCCTGCCTGTGTTATTCCCACCACACCAAATCCTCCCATGCTCACACCTTCAAAACCCAGCTCAAATGCCTGCCCCCTTTGTGATGCCCTCCCACATTCTCTGATGCAGTTCATTGCTCTTTCCTCAATGTTCTCATAACATTTAGTGCACAGCGCTATTCAAGCACACATACCATTGATTGCACTGAATTTGTAAAGAGTATTTCCTCCATTAAATGCAAGCATCCTGAGGGCAAAAATGCGGAGGGAGGACAGAGAGAGAGAGACTAAGAGAATTTTTGGAGAGGTCACCAAAAATTCTAGTACAGGAACAAAGTGTGCTCGGTAGACACCCACTCTCTTCCTATCCCCATTTTTACAGTATTTTCAACATCCTTACATCCCCACACTCCTCTTCCCATTGCGGCCATTCGGGAAAAGCTGAGCCCTAGATGACCACGCCGGAACTGTGGCTAGTGTACACTGAAGGGAGAAATCACACAACGACACAGATAGTTACCGTAAGAAATTCATGGATTCTCCCCACCGATGAGCCCTTACCGAGCATGATGGCCCTTTAACTGGCCTTGGTCAGCCCCTCTTTCTGATTCCTGTAACCAGTGCCCTTCTCTTTCATTCCTTATGCAACTTCCAAATTCCTTTCTCGGACGAAAACGTCTCCTCTTACTTTTTTCAAGAAACCTGAGGCCATACAAACCACCCAGCCATACACCTTCCTGTCCTTATTCCAGTCCTTATTCCAGTCTAAAAGGGTGTGGTGTCCCTTTTCCTATGCAAGGCCCCCTGCTTCTGCTCTGCTCTAGATCCCTCTCTAAATCCTGCTCCAGCAGGAAAACCCTCTTCCTTTCTGGAGGGGCTCTCTCTCCCTTTTGCCTATAAAAACACAGAAATCTTTCCCATCCTTAAAAATAAACAAAGAAATAGTGACAATCTTTCCTGACCCTTCAATACTAGTTACCAACTACTGCCCTCTTTCCTTTCCAAGCCAACTGTGTGAAAGAACAGTCTACACCTGACATCTCCATTTCCTCCTTCCCACTCACTTCTGGACCCCTACAGCACAATCTGGACTCTACTACCATTCCTGGTAAAGGGCATCATGTCTTAAAACTGCAAAATCCAAGGGATAAAAACTCTAATAGATACTTGTCTATTCTGATTTTACTGGATTGCTCTGAAGCAATGACTACCTGCTCTTTGACCTCCTCTACCCTGGGGCTTCCATGACAATACTCTCATTCATTCACTCATTCTTCAAACACCCTTATTGAGCATTTTTTGTACCACCCTCTGAGTTTAGGATTAAGTGTAAGCAAAATAAATATACTCCTTGTTTTTGGAGCTAAAAATACAGAAGCTCAATACATTAGTCAAATGATCAGAGACAAATGCATAATTATAAAAATGTGATAAATTCTATGAAAGAAAGACCCAAAGTATGGCTATGAGAACTGCACCTGTAACAGTAATGAAAGCTTCCCTGAAAACTACCTTTGAGTTGAGTTCTGAAGGAAGAGTACCAAGGGGAGGAGGACAGCATTCCAGACAAAGCACATAGGATATGCAAAGGTCCTGTGCCAAGAAGAAACACAGTAAATGAACCAAAAGGAAGGCAGCAGTGTGTATGGGGAGTAGGGTGGCAGGGAGAGAAGAATGAACAGGGACTAGGAGGTAAGAGGGAAGCGGATCACTTAGAACATTAGAGATTTGGGTCCTTATTCTTAGAGTAATGGGAAGCCATGGAAAATACTTAAATGTGGGACTGAATGAGAAGAGACATGATAAGTTTGCATCTTTAAAAGATCATTCTAGGGAAGACAATTAGGAGAAGCCACGTGTAAATATAAGGACATTACTTAGGAGGGGACTACAGCAGTCAAGTGAGAAACCAGGGAAGCTGAACTAAGTTGGTGGCAGTGGACAGGGAGAGAACTAGGAAGACAACAACGCTCACAAGGTAAAATCAGCAAGAATTGATGATAAATCAGATGTGGAATGTTGGGGAAAGAGAGGTGTCCACGATGACTCTGGTTTCTGACTTGCTGATACCAGTCACTGACACAGCGAAAGAAAAGCACCAGGCTTGGCGGGGAGTAACACGAATTTGATATGAGGTAAGTTTAAGGTGCCTGTGAGAAAGCCGATGTCAATGGAGCAGTTGGTTTAGGGCAGGAATCAGCCAACAATGGCCCATGGGCCAAATCTAGCCCACAATGCCTTTTTGTAAATAAAGTGTTATTAGAACACAGCCGCATTCATTCATTTACGTATTGTCTAAGGCTGCTTTTGTGCTACTCCAGCAGAACTGAGTAGTTGCAGTGGATACCATATGGCTCACAAAGCCTAAAATACTTATTCTCTGGCCCTTTACAAAGTTTGCCAAACCTGGTTTAGAGCAAATAATATGGATTGAAGTTACAAATCACAATCCCATTAGTCTCCATACAACCAACTCTCCACACGGATTGTGTTACATACACACACAAACTCCACATCTCTGACAGTTTCTATCAAATCTCTATCCAAGGCTCCTCTTTCCTACCTATCCCTTAAACACTGGTGTTCATTAGAGTTCCACCCCGAGCCCGTGGTCCTTCATTTAACATGTTCTCCTTGGACAATATCCGTTTGTATACACTTAACAACACTAACAGGCTAATGGTCTCCCAACCTGTACTGCTAGCCATGACCTGCCTCTGAGAGTCTCACTGTTACCGGATATACCCACTTGGGTATCACCACCACAGGAGCTCAAGCTGAATGTAGTGAACTTTTGTTTGCTGTCCATTCAATATCCATTCCCCTCATCTGCTTTCCTAACAATACCCAGATTTTCTTGAATATCCACCCTTTACCAGGCAGCCCCCGAGCTTGGGGGAAGATGGCTCCATTAGTCAGGGTCTAGGCAAGAAACAGAAAAGCACAATCATCTGAAATTTTGAAAAGTGTATGGGCCACTTTTCAAAGGGACTTTTCTCAGGGTCAAGGAAGCCAACAAAGGCAGAAAGGCTTTACCGCCCCCAGGCCCCACGAGACAAACGGGGAGGAAACGGTGCTCCTGGGGCGTGGTAAGAGCTGGAACTGTGTGGGCGACCTGATGAAAGCTGTAGCCATAGAGGGACGCAGCCACTATTGACCAAGGCACTAAGACTGGGAGGGAGCAGGGAAGAAATACCAGGAAGTCTTTCTCTTCCTGCCTGCCAACCTCCTGCCAATGCCTCCCCAGACCAAACCTAACTGGAAGCCAGAGGGAGGGAGCCTGGGTGATGGTGATATGGTCTAGAGTCGGCTTTCCAAGGAGTAGAAAAGCGCAGGGAAGGGAAGGGAATGGATCTGGTGGCAGAGGAGCAAGATAAGAAAAACTAGAAAATGACCCTACTCCCAGCCCTGGGGCATGACCTCTGGCCTAAACCAATCATTACACCCACAGGTGTGCTGGGAAATAGCTTTAAAAAAAAGGATTTGACAGTTCCTGTGGTGCAAATATTCCCACTCTGGGAATATCTGGCTATTTTCAAGCCACACTGGTAACATCTCCGAATGCCGAGTTAGGAAGAGATGTGCATAGCCAGCTCTAGAGAGCCGACAGGAGTTGGCTCCGGCACACCATCCTCCAGCCAGATACATGTTTGGGGTCAACATGTGATCCAACCTAACCCAAAGTAAAGTTTCAGAAAATCTGCTTGGAAAGTTATTTAATGCCTCCATGGCCTTGTTTCTGTTTCTCTCTACATCTAGAATTTCTCTCACTCCCTATCTCGAACTCTTCTTTCAAGATTTAACTTGGGTTGACACGTGCACGAAGCCTTCCCTGTATCTTCATGGCCCATTACGGGCACCTCTTCGGAGCTTGCATGGTTTCTAGTGCATCTCTCCCTTAATACCAGATTCTAAGATTATCTGTTGACTTGTCTGTCTTCTCCAGTAGGCCCTGAGCTCATCAGAACAGAACCCAGCACCCCATGGCGGCTCTATTAATACCCACCTGAAACAAACTGACATAATTTCCTTTTTAAAAAACAAAACTGTAACAAAACAAGCACCAAAATTACAAGTTCTGAGCAAATTTTGGCTACTGAATTATAGTAAATACACCATTAATAAAGCTACCTACTACCAACTTCTTCCCTTGCTAATATACTTGAACTCCATATTCATGAACATGATTTTGCCACAAAGTTATCAGTCTGTATCAGAAACATAAGATTCATGGATGGACTAAACTGATCTACACAGCAGGAGGTTGGTTCCTCTTGGAGGAGAAAGGATAATGGCTGGAAGGAAGCACAGGAAGGTTTCTGGAGTACCAGTAACACTCTACGTCCCGATTTGGGTGCTAGTGAGGGTGCTGGTATGTCTGGTTTCTGAAAATTCAAGCTGTACACAGTTATGATAGGTGCACTTTCTCTACATACAGTATACTACAATTTTAAATGTTTTAAAATCAATGGATGCAAAATAATTTGTCTGCACTCAAAAAATACCAATTCAATGTTACATTCATTCAGAAATTTTCATCCTTGTCTTGTGTGGATAATTATCTTTTTACCCAAGTAAAAAAAGCATTCCTGCCAGGTAAAAGCAGCCACTATAGAAATACTTGAAATAATTAACAAAACTGTTTTAGTCTTGGAGGAAAATAAGAAAATCATATTTAAACATAAATAAGTTTACACATGGAAGAAATGAAAAAAACGACAAAACTCCCAAATTTGTAAGCCCGATTTTCCAAAATATACATCTGTCAACCTTTGATTCATAAAATTGCACACTTAAACGGAAGAGAGAAAAGTGTAAAAGTCCTAGGTGGCCTATTGTTTCTAAATATCATTGATAACTGACATAGCAGGACCATATTTATCATTTACAGAGAATTCAAACAAGCTAACAATTTAATGAGTCCCATCTTTGAAGAGGAAAAGCAAAGTGACCCTTGTGTGAAACCAGAGTCTATCACCTAACAGATTCAAATCAAAAGTTAAAAAAAAAAAACCTTGAAAACATGCTAAGTGAAAGAAGCTTGCCACAAAGGAACACATATTGTATGTTTCCATTTATGTGAAATGTCCAGAACTGACAAATTTATAGCAACAGGAAATAGAGTGATGTTTGCCAGGAGCCAGGGGAAGGGGGGCATGGGGAATGACTGCTCATGGGCATGGAGTTTCTCTTTTGGGTGATGAGAATGTTCTAGAATTGACAGCGGTGATGCCTGCACAACTCAGTGAATATACTGAAACCACTCAGTTGTACTTTTAAATGGGCAGATTGTATGGCATGTGAATAATGTCTCAATAAAGCTGTTGTTTTTTTAAAGGCAAAAGATAAACCAACTCAACAAATACATACAGACCACAAAATCAACTTTTAATGTTTTAATTATTTAGTCTGCTGGATTTGATGGATGCTTTTTGATGTGAAATGAAGCCGCATTCATTCATTTACGTATTGTCTAAGGCTGCTTTTGTGCTACTCCAGCAGAACTGAGTAGTTGCAGTGGATACCATATGGCTCACAAAGCCTAAAATACTTATTCTCTGGCCCTTTACAAAGTTTGCCAAACCTGGTTTAGAGCAAATAATATGGATTGAAGTTATAAATCACAATCCCATTAGTCTCCATACAACCAACTCTCCACACGGATTGTGTTACATACACACACAAACTCCACATCTCTGACAGTTTCTATCAAATCTCTATCCAAGGCTCCTCTTTCCTACCTATCCCTTAAACACTGGTGTTCATTAGAGTTCCACCCCGAGCCCATGGTCCTTCATTTAACATGTTCTCCTTGGACAATATCCGTTTGTATACACTTAACAACACTAACAGGCTAATGGTCCCCCAACCTGTACTGCTAGCCATGACCTGCCTCTGAGAGTCTCACTGTTACCGGATATACCCACTTGGGTATCACCACCACAGGAGCTCAAGCTAAATGTAGTGAACTTTTGTTTGCTGTCCATTCAATATCCATTCCCCTCATCTGCTTTCCTAACAATACCCAGATTTTCTTGAATATCCACCCTTTACCACGCAGCCCCCGAGCTTGGGGGAAGATGGCTCCATTAGTCAGGGTCTAGGCAAGAAACAGAAAAGCACAACCATCTGAAATTTTGAAAAGTGTATGGGCCACTTTTCAAAGGGACTTTTCTCAGGGTCAAGGAAGCCAACAAAGGCAGAAAGGCTTTACCGCCCCCAGGCCCCACGAGACAAACGGGGAGGAAACGGTGCTCCTGGGGCGTGGTAAGAGCTGGAACTGTGTGGGCCACCTGATGAAAGCTGTAGCCATAGAGGGACGCAGCCACTATAGACCAGGGCACTAAGACTGGGAGGGAGCAGGGAAGAAATACCAGGAAGTCTTTCTCTTCCTGCCTGCCAACCTCCTGCCAATGCCTCCCCAGACCAAACCTAACTGGAAGCCAGAGGGAGGGAGCCTGGGTGATGGTGATGTGGTCTAGAGTCGGCTTTCCAGGGAGTAGAAAAGCGCAGGGAAGGGAAGTGAATGGATCTGGTGGCAGAGGAGCAAGATAAGCAAAACTAGAAAATGACCCTACTCCCAGCCCTGGGGCATGACCGGTCTGGCCTAAACCAATCATTACACCCACAGGTGTGCTGGGAAATAGCTTTAAAAAAAAGGATTTGACAGTTCCTGTGGTGCAAATATTCCCACTCTGGGAATATCTGGCTATTTTCAAGCCACACTGGTAACATCTCCGAATGCCGAGTTAGGAAGAGATGTGCATAGCCAGCTCTAGAGAGCCGACAGGAGTTGGCTCCGGCACACCATCCTCCAGCCAGATACATGTTTGGGGTCAACATGTGATCCAACCTAACCCAAAGTAAAGTTTCAGAAAATCTGCTTGGAAAGTTATTTAATGCCTCCATGGCCTTGTTTCTGTTTCTCTCTACATCTAGAATTTCTCTCACTCCCTATCTCGAACTCTTCTTTCAAGATTTAACTTGGGTTGACACGTGCACGAAGCCTTCCCTGTATCTTCATGGCCCATTACGGGCACCTCTTCGGAGCTTGCATGGTTTCTAGTGCATCTCTCCCTTAATACCAGATTCTAAGATTATCTGTTGACTTGTCTGTCTTCTCCAGTAGGCCCTGAGCTCATCAGAACAGAACCCAGCACCCCATGGCGGCTCTATTAATACCCACCTGAAACAAACTGACATAATTTCCTTTTTAAAAAACAAAACTGTAACAAAACAAGCACCAAAATTACAAGTTCTGAGCAAATTTTGGCTACTGAATTATAGTAAATACACCATTAATAAAGCTACCTACTACCAACTTCTTCCCTTGCTAATATACTTGAACTCCATATTCATGAACATGATTTTGCCACAAAGTTATCAGTCTGTATCAGAAACATAAGATTCATGGATGGACTAAACTGATCTACACAGCAGGAGGTTGGTTCCTCTTGGAGGAGAAAGGATAATGGCTGGAAGGAAGCACAGGAAGGTTTCTGGAGTACCAGTAACACTCTACGTCCCGATTTGGGTGCTAGTGAGGGTGCTGGTATGTCTGGTTTCTGAAAATTCAAGCTGTACACAGTTATGATAGGTGCACTTTCTCTACATACAGTATACTACAATTTTAAATGTTTTAAAATCAATGGATGCAAAATAATTTGTCTGCACTCAAAAAATACCAATTCAATGTTACATTCATTCAGAAATTTTCATCCTTGTCTTGTGTGGATAATTATCTTTTTACCCAAGTAAAAAAAGCATTCCTGCCAGGTAAAAGCAGCCACTATAGAAATACTTGAAATAATTAACAAAACTGTTTTAGTCTTGGAGGAAAATAAGAAAATCATATTTAAACATAAATAAGTTTACACATGGAAGAAATGAAAAAAACGACAAAACTCCCAAATTTGTAAGCCCGATTTTCCAAAATATACATCTGTCAACCTTTGATTCATAAAATTGCACACTTAAACGGAAGAGAGAAAAGTGTAAAAGTCCTAGGTGGCCTATTGTTTCTAAATATCATTGATAACTGACATAGCAGGACCATATTTATCATTTACAGAGAATTCAAACAAGCTAACAATTTAATGAGTCCCATCTTTGAAGAGGAAAAGCAAAGTGACCCTTGTGTGAAACCAGAGTCTATCACCTAACAGATTCAAATCAAAAGTTAAAAAAAAAAAACCTTGAAAACATGCTAAGTGAAAGAAGCTTGCCACAAAGGAACACATATTGTATGTTTCCATTTATGTGAAATGTCCAGAACTGACAAATTTATAGCAACAGGAAATAGAGTGATGTTTGCCAGGAGCCAGGGGAAGGGGGGCATGGGGAATGACTGCTCATGGGCATGGAGTTTCTCTTTTGGGTGATGAGAATGTTCTAGAATTGACAGCGGTGATGCCTGCACAACTCAGTGAATATACTGAAACCACTCAGTTGTACTTTTAAATGGGCAGATTGTATGGCATGTGAATAATGTCTCAATAAAGCTGTTGTTTTTTTAAAGGCAAAAGATAAACCAACTCAACAAATACATACAGACCACAAAATCAACTTTTAATGTTTTAATTATTTAGTCTGCTGGATTTGATGGATGCTTTTTGATGTGAAATGATATCATGTCTAAGAAACCAGTCATCATTTCTAGAATTTTTTTCCTCAATAGTATACTTGAATATTTCTGTGTATGTGTGTGTGTGTGTGTGTGTTGAGAGCCAGAGATGAAACAGGAATTTTTTGGAGTGACAGGTCATCCTAATATTATATTGCAAAATAACTTAGCTGAAAAACTGGACACTTGGGATGACACAGACCGCTGGGAGGGATCAGGGAGTGTGCTGGAAACATGAATGTTAGTCATCAAATAATAGAAACTTCCTGGCCTTACCTGCTGAGATTTAGAACATCTGAAGTCTCTTAAGTTAAAAGTCCCTTTCAGAAACAAAGTCCAATTTACCCACAGGGAAATTTTATGAAGTTAACAATTCACTCTAATGCTAGAGCTCTCCTAATGTATGATTTCTGGGTAAGACATACACACACACAAATCCAGGTAATAACTGCACCCTAGAATGAAGGTAATTAGGTTGTTTTGAAGTCTATGCAATTTGAAAACTGCCTAAAAGCAAAAATTAACTAAGTTTTAAGGATATGTCACAGTGTGAATACCGTCCTCGTTAATAGATTAAAATATTAACAGAATTGATACAGCCATTCTTAAATTTTATAAAATGTTACTAAAATGCTAAAGCAGTTTATTTTTCCTCAACAAAATGCACCTCTATTACACCAAAATCACAGCACATCCTTTCTGTGAGGAATAAACATTTTACATCATAAACCCTGACAATCACTTACAAAATATAAAATTACCAACAGTCATGGCTCTTTTTACCCCCCGAATTACAGTGGCAAACTACTGAACCCCAGAACTGCCCTTCCCCAGCCAGGATGTAAGGCCCACAAAACCACAGCCACCGACAGCTCATGACAAGACAGCCTCGGTACCCCTAAGCCTGAGCCCTCCACGAAGTGGGGCCATCGCCGCGAGGCAGCGCACAGTCACGCACGGTGGTCGGGCTCCCCAGGGTCAGGAAAGCACTGACAAGCGAGCACCTCCCACCGTGGGTGCTGATTACCAGAAAGGAACCTTCTCCCCACACCCTCCCACTTCCTTCCTTCTCAGAAGCGTCGTGGGGGCTTTTCTGAGACCCCCCAACCGGAACCGGAAAAACGACCATCTTCCAACCCTCCCCCCCGGCCGGAAGTGGGGGAACCCAGGGCGCACTCACCCTGGAAGAGCAGGATGCCCAGCAGTGGCCGCAGAGCGCAGCCACGGCCTCCAGCGGCTCCGCTTGGCTGCATCCCTACAGCTCTCCAGAAGTTTGCACACCTTGTTTTCGGCTCCCGGTAACAACACAGGTAACACCGGATGTGACGTAAGGGAGGCCGCGAGAACACGACTTGGCGATCCGAGGTTGCCATAGCAACATGGCTTGTTTCCAGAGCCCCACCTGGTCTTGTTGCCACTCTGACCAGCGAATTTTTAATTCCGAAGTAGTAGTTAATTCTTCACTTTTGCTTGCCGATGAAGTAAGCTACAGACTTTGGAGAAATTAGTTTATCCTTATGGAATGCTGCAGTACTAGTCTCCATCCTGCAATTCTATTCCAGAAGTCTTTTTTTACTCCCTACAGATCATTTTGAACGCTCCCAGAACAGGTTTCTATAAATTTAGAGTCAAAAGGGACCAAAGAGAACATACAGGATCGGTCAATCAATATATGTTAGGGCTTCGAGGCGAATTTGCCTCGTCTCGGCTGGTTGGAGGGTTTTAATTTTGTGTGTGTGTGTGTAGCTATTACGCGTCTAGCTCAGTACCTGCCTAAGTTGGGTGTTTACTGTCGACAATGACAATGATGAAATCACAGCATATAATAAAAGGGGAAAGGAACTGAGATTGGTTTATCTTTTGGTTGGAAAAATGAGACAGTAATGTATTCACAGTGCTTGAAGTGAAATGAAGAAACGGTGTCTCATTCTTCTGAGAAAGAGATGGAAGGGGTACCCTGCTTCAATCATTAGTCCATCTTTTCTCCTGGAATCCACATATTTGATGAAAGCAAGGAGGGAACCAAAGTATGCTTCACGTTTGGGGAAATTTAAAACTTCTGATTTTTCAACTCCCATTCCTTTTACTTGACAGCTGGTAGTTTTCTCTATTAAGAAGGTAATGTCAGAGTATCAAATGGAATAGATGGTACTGTTCCTTCAAAACAGTAAGTAGTTTGTTGTGCCCAGTTCCCAGGTATCCAAATAAGGCGTAAGTTCTGTGGCAATCCATATAGGTTTATCTATCTAGTAGAAAATAATTCTATCCTTTTTGACTTTCAGACTGCCTCTAAGAAAAATGTCCGTGAAGATAAAATATATACCCATCTGTTTTCTATTACTTAAAATGTAAAATTTTTAGGTTTTGTATATAAGCAAATTATATAATTGATAATTCTTTATTACTAAAGGCTATTTACATAAAGGCACAATAAAAAATAAATTACAATACAAAAGTTCTCTTTAGGAAGAAGACACTGAACAAGGCCATATTAACCCTTAAGTATTTATCCAAGATACAGGCTACAAATATTGCTGCAAAGAATTTCCATGAGTTTTTAACTACTACTTCAATACATTTATGGAACATCACCCAGGCCATTTGTTTGAAAAAAAATATCCAGTTATATTTTCAAAGCTTGAATTATGAAGAAAAATAGAAAATGTGAATTAAAGGTAATACAGACTTTAAATCTCATTTTTAGTTTCAGAATTGGGTATTGAAACTTTACTTTTTTAGACACTATATTAGGCAAAATGAGACAGGTATGGAATGAATTTCACAATCAAGGTTAATATGTAAGTTATACCAATTGTTTTTTAAGTATTGGAAAAAATATCAAAGTTCAGCATGTTTCAATACAGATAACTTATTTGAAAATTCCAGTTTATTAAAAGAAATAACATCTTCACCCCAGTCAAGTGAAAACTGAAAATATCAGACTGTGCAGATTTTGAGGGGGGGCGGGTATGTAAACTTTTACATGTTTCCTATCCTTTGAATAAATGCTATTGTAGCTCAAGTTTGGAAAGACACTGGGAAGCTACTTTTTTAAAAGCACTCTTTCCATAGCTAACTTATAAAGTTTGCTTTTTCTACTAGCATAAGGGAAAAAAGAAGAAAGCTGTTTCCATTCTGTTTTAGTATTTCTTTGCCCCATACCATATCCTCCTTCCCCAAAGTAAGCAAGTAAATTAAAACAAAAAACAAGAATAGTAAAAGAAAGAAAAAGAAAAAAATTAATCTCTTCCAGTTCTCAGGAGTGTTGTATAACACTAATCAAAATTAGCATTGAGGACTGATTTTTTTTTCCACCAGCCCTACATTTTTCAAGTTGTAATATACTATTTCAGAATACTTCTATTTAATTGCTTAATGATTCCAGTCTACAAATGAGCAGACTTGGCTCTGTTATAAACAATTGAATTGGGGGAAAAAAATATGGTAAGCTCAACAGTCATTCACTGCTCATAAAAGACCTGTGTTTTTCATGACACAGGTGTCAGTGAGTCACATGCAGTGACATTTGTCAATCTGTTAGCGTTTATGTAACCTTTTATAGTTACTCTGTAATTTAGACTTGTGCTATTATAAACCTTGGATCAATTGACAAAAAAAAAAACCTGTCATGTAGGATATTGAAAAAAATGCAGTAAGATGTGACCCCTTACTTAAGGGGGGCCAAAAAAATCAAACTGTTAACAGTTTGAATTTCAGATTTTTCTGTTAATCAAAAACATACGGGAGAATTAGCTCACCTTTTAATTGAGACTGAGAAGGAATGAGTACACACATTAACTTTAGTGGCAAGAGTGCCGCTCTAAAGAAACCAATCTGTCCAGGGAATTGTCATGACAGAGAAGTTGGCTTTTTATCCCATGGTGCCAACGTGTATGTGTATAAGTCGTAAAACACAGGGAGTGTTTAAGGGCAAAACTGTAGCTTCTTAGTGTACAAAAGCATTTGAAAAATATTCGCACTCAGATCAAATAAAACCTTAGTCATGGGGCTGTGTGTGAGTCTGGTGGTATCTGCTCAGGAAGAGCCCTGTGCCAGCTCCAAAGGGATGCCGCTTATTTCTGAGATAATGTGCTGCAGAGCTGGTGGGAAGACAGGTCCCAACTGTAAAAGCCAAAGAAAAGCTTTGTTTAACTTCAACTTATCCTAGGGTTCTTGTTCTTCAGCTTCCTGAAACACAAAAGATTAAATGGATAATGTATTTGGGAGGAGAGCAATGCAAGTAGCTGGCATTATGAAATACATGTATATTATTAGATCTGGTCTCCATTGTGGTGGAGGGAAATACTCTTAAATGTATTTGTTCTCCCAATTTAAGTTTCAAAAGAAATATCCTGATCCTTTTCCTTAATACATAGTTCTCAGAGTCAGTGTCCTTAATTCATAGCCCCTGCCTTGAATGGACACTTGGATGACCCATAGCTCACTCTCTCTTTCTCTCTCTCTCTCTCTGTCCCCCCACCCCATTATTATGAACAAAATCTAATATACAAAGAAGTAGAGAAGACAGTATATGAAATTCACCCATCACCCAATTTGAAATTATTTTTTGCCTTATTTGATACAGTATGTGTATATGTATTTGGGAGGGGGAGCTGAAGTTTTTAAAACAAATTACTGACATTTTACCCCTAAAACCAATATTCATTTTTTAAATAGGGACATTTTCCTATGTAACCACACCTGTATTATATCTAATAAAAATTAACAATAATCCCCTAATATTAACCATAACCAAACTTCTCATGTTCAAGACTTTCCCAGTTAGCACCCCAAATCTTTTTACAACTAGTTTCTTCAAATTAGTATCCATCCAGTTAAGGATCACACATTGCACTTGACTTAGTTCATTCCTTAAATTTCTTTTAATCTAAAACAGCCCCCATCTTTATTTTCCATGACCCCAGCTTGTTAGAGAATGTGCTTGATTTTTAAAAAGACAACAGCCCTCAATAAAATCTGCTTTTTGTTTGTTTTTCTTGATTTATAATAAAATCATTTTTATCCATATTCTATTTTATAAGCCCTTGAGGTATTTCATTGGTGCTCTAGGCTAAGAAATTCTGATCATATGAAAAATAAGTCACCCTACCTTTTAAACCTGATAAACCCCAAAACTGAAAAAACAAATCACGCACTACCAACCCTGAACTCATAGTCTCAATAACTAAATAAGAGAAGTTAAAAATCAACTCCAAATAGTACAAAAATTCCCCCGTCAAAATGTCAGGCATATCAATATTAAGTCAGTCTCTTAATACCATGATTTGTTTACAGCAAAACAAAACAAGCAGATATTATTTCACTGAAAAAGAAAAGATGTATTTGCATGTTTAAAGTTTATTATTCTTGGTGGTGGTAAATGCAACCCCAAAGCCTCAAATAGTCTTAGAATTTTCTCCCATTTAATGGTAGTAGGGTTTAATTTCCTAATCCTTTGCATAAAACAGTCAAATGGGAAGCCCTCCATACCACTGATAGAAGACTTCTATCTCCCCCACCCAGCTCCTCTAATTTCATACAGAAAACACCTAACAGTCATAAAATCTGAGAGAACCGCATTAGAGATGGGCCAGACAAGAAAGCTAAGGAAAGAAATCAAACTGTGAACCTCACCATATAAGAATGTTAGGCTGTGTCTTCTAAATAAACAGAGACCTTTTTTTCTTGGTTGAGTTTTTCCTCTTCTTTTCTGTAGCAAAGAAGCAGAGACCAATGTCAGGTGAACAAGACAAGATTCAAGGGAACCAAATCTCACAAAGCTTCAGGTGAGGTCTTCTTCCTCCAATATTTTGGGAAGAATTAATGCATCTGGGAGTAGACCCAGCCGACATTACAGAGAGCTAAGCCACATAACGCCATCTAATTAATGATACTTGTGCCTTGACATGGCCCTTTGTATCTAAACTTTGACACTTTTCCGGATACTTTTAGGTAAGAATATAATTTGGGAACTTCAGGGATTTAAAGCAAACATTTTATTTTGCCATTTAGTATCTTACCTCCAATTCTACTTCTCATTCAAAAAAAATATAGTTTTGTGTTGACCTAGAAGTCATCTTTATTGATTATATTCTACTCAAACCAGAACCTTACAGTTGGGCTCACTAGTCTCCTTAAAATATTCAATTTACTTCAGTAAATATTTCTTGAGGAAAAGAAATAAATGGTACTGGGACAACTAAAAAACTACAACCGCAGAAGAATGAATTTGGACCCCTGCTTTGTACCATATACAAAAATTAACTCATATGAAGTGGACTTCATCAAAATTAAAAACTTTTGTATTTCAAAGGACACTATCAAGAAAAATGAAAAGAGAGCCTACAGAATGGGGAAAATAATTGTAAATCATCTATCTAATAAGGCACTTTTATTATATCTAATTTAGACACTCCAAAGTATATAAAGAACACTTACAAATCAACAATAAAAAGACAACCCAATTTTTAAGTGGAAAAATTATTTGAATAGATGTATCTCCAAATAAGATACAAATGGCCAGTAAACACTTGGAAAGACACTCAGCATCATTAGTCAGTAGAATATAAATCAAAACCTCCGTGAGCCACCACTTCACATCCACTAGATGGCTGTCATCAAAAGGAGAGACGTCTTTAACAAGGACGTGAACAAACTGGAGCCCTATACATTGCTGGTAGGAATGTAAAGTGGTGCTGCTGTTGAGGAAAATAGCCTGGCAATCCCCCAGAAAGGTAAACACTGAGTTACCGTATGTCCCAGCAGTTACTCTCCGAGGTAAGTGCCCAGGAAAATTGAAAACATGTCTGCACAAAAATATTAGATGAGTATTCATAGCAGCATTAGTCATAATAGCCAAGAAGTGGGGAAAATCTAATTATCCGTTAACTGAATAGATCAACAAAAGGTGGAATATACACACAATGAAATATTATACAGCAATAAAAAGGGATGAAGTTACTATACATGCTGTACATGGATGAACTTCTAAAACACTGTGCTAAGTCAGGGAAGCCAGACATAAAAGGCCACATAAGGTCTAATTGCATTTACATGGAATGTCCGCAACAGGCAGATCCATCGAGACACAAGGCAGGTTGGCAGTTGTCAGGGGCAGGTGGGAGGGGAAAACAAGGATTGATGGCTAAAGGGTATGGAGCTCCTTTTGGGGTGATGAAAATGTTCTGGAATTAGTGGTAAACGGGTACACAACTTTGTGAATACTAATAGGGTAAATTTTATGGTCGGTAAGTTTTATCTCAATAAAAAAATATTTACTGAGCACCTCATTATCAGCATGCCTGACTTCCCTAGGCACTGATTCATAATGCCGCCAACCGCTCAGTGGTTCTTACAAATGTATGCTTTACACTGAAAGTAAGGAATGTCCTAGAAGAGTTTTGCATAAGCAGATTGTAATACCAAATCCCCTATAATCAAGCCTATGATGCAATCTTATGTGAAATTAAGAAAAGTTACTTTGTAAAGTTACTGATTGACACCCTAATTTATCCATTGGATGAGTTTGCATTATTTTATGTAAGGTTTATGCAAGGGGAAGAACACCTGCTCAGTTATTTAGACCCAATGTAAAATACCAAGAGTCACAATGACAGTGTTAGAGGACTTTCCCAGCACTGCGCAGCCTTACGATTTTATCTCCACCACTTTCTGAGCTCTTTCAGCCCATCGCTTTTTCCGGAAATGCTGGAAGAGGACCACCACGATTACCATTATGACCATCAGTGCACAAGCAGAGCCAATGGCCAGAGCCAGGAAGTAGATCTCAGAAAAGCGTGCTGTAAGGAGAATAAAATTAAGTTATGTTTCTAAAAAGAGGAGGACTGTGATGAAATCTAAGATAGAATAGGGCTTATTTTCATCATTAAATGGAATCATCCTTTCTCCCACCTGGTGAACTCTAGCAGCAGTAGGAAAGTCATGCACACCATCTTAGTGGTTCTCAAACTCGTGTCCTAGGGGCAGCAGCAACAGTTACTTACTTGGTAATTTTGAAATGCAAGCTCTCAGGCCCCACCCCAGACCTACTGAATTATGGGTGGGTCCCTGCAATCTGTTTTGACATGTCCTCCAGATGATTTTGATGCTTGTCAAAATTTTGAGAACCTCTGGGCCAGCTCAACTACTTAGGAGGTAAGGTTATTGCTGACCTGTTTAAATCCAGCACCTGAACTCTTTCTTCCTGACTCCCTCTCACCTCTGTGATTCAGTCACTTCATCAAGTTTATTATGGGCCTCCTGTGTCCCAGGCACTGTGACGGGATTGCAAAGCCAATAAAGACATCGTCTCTAAGAACTCCTGCCCACTGGAAAGATAGGCAAGTGAATCAGCAACTATAGTCCAGGGATGAAAGATGTAAGAGGACACCCAGAGGAAGGGTCCTTAAGCCAGGCCAGAGTCTGTGAAGCCCGGGTCTCCTGTCTTCAACTTGACTCCTGATTTAAACTTCAATAAACCCTCAGAGCCAGAAAGGACATTAGAGAATGTCTAGCCCAGGGGTTCCCAGCCTAGAGTCCGAGAAGGGAGGGAGGTGCCACAGGCCCACAAAATCCATGCCATATTGTGGGTGTCCATTTTTTGTGGGAAGCACGTCTTTCATTAGATTCCCAAAGAGTAGTGATCCTGATAATGTCTGAGAACCATGTGTTCTTGTCTAACCTGTTCATTTTGCAGATGAAGAAACTGAGGTCCAAAGACATTACTTCTTCTAGTACTCAAACGACTTCTCCAAGGTCACACAGCCTCTCTACTGATAAAGCCTTGAAGGATGATACTAGGAATGAAAAGGGGAAATCATACCACTTTACAGGCTTATATGTTTTGGGTAGTGATACTGTGTGTGGGTTAAGAGCACGCACCAGAGAGAGCTAGGTTAACATGCCAGCTCCACCATTGACTAGAAGTGTGACTGGGGGCAATTAACTTCTTTGAGCCTCAGTTTCCTCAATGTATAAAATAGAAATAATGATATCCATTTCTCAAGTTCTTATAAAAAACAAATTATTCATGTAAATTGTCCCATGCTGTGCCTGCACATAATAAACACTCAATATGTAGTAGCTATTGTTATCTTCAGTGCAATTCAGAGTTTGGGGAATTTTTACATTTATTATCTCTTCCTCACCATAATCCTCACTATATTATTCTCACTTCACAGGAGAAAAAAAATAAGGCTTATTTACACCTCGTACATGGTAGTAGTAACTCACACCCAAATTTACAACTTTTCAGTTTTATGGACTTTGCTGTTTGTTATCTGGCAGATTTCCAGGCTGTCCTTAACAGGACCACAGGCAACACAATGCATTAGTTTGGAGCACAATTTTGGAGTCAGAGATGCTTGGGTTTGAGTTCTAAGTGACTCCATTTATCAGCTACATGACTTTGGACAAGTGACTTAACCTCAATGTGCCTCAGTTTCCTCATCAGTAAAACGGAGCCACTAAGAGCACAATAAGCTATTGTGATATATAAAGATTAAATAAGATCTGTGAAGCCCCTGACATGTGGGAAGATCTCAGTAAACAGTAGCTCCCATTATTGGTATCTCCCTTGGATGAGAGGATTGAATGGACCAGTGCCTGACACAGAGTAGGTTCTCAGTAAGTGTCTTGTGAATAAATGAGTGAATGAACAAACCTATTGTTAGCCTTTTACCAGAGTTGATTCCTCTCCCTTTCATGATTTCAATGCCATTTTTGTAACAGATTCCCTGGATCCCTTTGTTTTACTTTCTGTTTCTTTCCACAGCCAAACAAGGCCTTTCTCTTTCTTACCCCCGTCTCCTTCTGTGGTTCCAGATTGGGAGGGCTGGTTCTTGTCTGTGCTTTGTCAGCTATCACAAAAGACTGCCTCTCTCTCTACAAGCTCTTATGCTTCCCAAAACTTTTTCTCTGCATGACCTACCAGTGTGCACGACGCTGAGCCGTATCTCCCCTATCAGCCCGTCAACATCAGGGGGGTTCTTCACTTGGCAGGTGTACGTCCCATTGTCATCAAACTGCAGCTTCCAGAGGATGATGGAGGCATCATACCGCTCAGGGTTCCCGTCCCAGACCACCCGGTCCTTGAAACGCCCACTCATGGGTTTGAAGGGATCCATGTGGTAGTAGAAGACCTTGAGAGGAGAAATAGCAAATGGTCTTCCATGACACCTGGGCACGGGGGCTGAGCTGGTGGACAGGAAGAGAAACCCCAGCACCCCTCACTGCCCTGCCTGTCTGCAGCTCTCTCGCCAGAACCTCTTGCTTGCCCCTTCACCAGCCTCTCAGTTCTGTCAATCTCCATCCTAAGAATTGTCCCCAGTCTCACCCTGTGCTTGTTCCTAAGAAAAAGAAAAGAAAAGCAAGGAGCAATGGGCTGGTTTATTTACCCAAGAGTCCCTGGAAAATGACAATAATCTACTTACAAACTGTTCGGGCCCTCCTTCCCGAGGACGGAAGTTCCAGGTCACTGTTAGTGCGTCACCCACAGGAGCGAAGCTGGAGAAAGTGCATTTTAACCGAACATCTGTCCCATTGACAGCCTCCACCACTCGGGAGGTATAAATTTCCACCGCTGCTATAGGCCAAAGAACTGCAGTGAAGACAAGGACAAAGGAGAGTTAACAGAAGATGTGTGTGAAGAGAACTGCTGACACTGCCAGAATAAACGTCTGGGCAGAGCATAGGAGCAGCTGCCGTACCCGGCTCTCAAACTTAACCCCAGCAGAGTCTGCACACGCCTACCTACAGGCAGCCTTGACCCTCCCATGCCACACAACACCTGGAAACCGCTCACAGCGAGCCTTCCTGGTGCTCTCACTTTCTCCACGGCGTGAGACCCTAGCTTCACGGTACCCACTTCACAACTGTTGGAACAAACTGCAAACATCACAGATAAAATCAAAGCAGAAACAAAAACATCAAAACTAATCGTAACATGAATTAGACATGTATTCACATTAAGCATTATATATTGAGTGCATATGATCCCCTAGCTGGTAGGTTTTCCAGAAAGGGTCCTTGGTGAGTGGGTTCCTTACTTTTCCTCATCCTCTGCAGAAACTGAATTAATCAGCCCCGGACGGCTGATATCTGCCTGCACCCCTGGAAACTGTGCCACGTGGCATTTTTTACCATGATATTTATGTTTAGAAATTGCGTGTCGGGGCAGTTTCAAAAGCACAATCTCAGCTTGCCCAGTGCCGCCGGGAATGCCAGGCCAGACCTCCACACACAAATCCAGCGGCCGGGTACTGCCTGCAGCGGGAGGTTGAGGGCAGCCACCACAACAATGGTCTGTAACCTGAGATGAGAAAGCCCTCTCTGTGCCCGATTCACTAGCAGCCCACACGCACCTAAACCTGTTCATCCAAGAGCAGTTCCCCACCAGCTTCAGTTTCAGTAAAAGTCAAAACTGAAATGAACCTCAGCTACGGCTCAGGCTTCCCAACAGCCCTTGCAACTTCTTAGACGACGAGCTAAGTTTATAGGGGAGGCAAGAAAGGGGGAAATGCCGAGAGAAGCCCTCCACCCTCCAGCTCTCACCTGTCAGCTGTATGCCAAGCAGCAGCAGCTCGGCCCGCCGTGTGCCCTTGCTGTCCATGAGGGAACCCAGCCCTGGCCCCGGAGACCAGACCGGGCAGACGGAGGGCACCAGCACCCTGCCGAGGCCTCTCCAGGCGGACCAAGCACCGCGATTTCCCAGAGAGAGGAGTCAGCCCCTCACCTATGGGAATCTAAGCACCAGCGCGTGCCTGTGACTCATCCTGCTCGCCGGTGCAGTGCTGGAATGAAAGGTGGGGCCTCAGCTCCCAGCCCAGCGCCCTCCTTCCTTCCCTCCCTCCCGCCCTCTGCACTACAAGCGTGCCTGCACAGAGTCCCCAAGTCTGCGATCCTCTCTTTACACCGAACCTGACTGGCTGTGGCCTCGGGATGGCCTTGGAAACAGCCAGAGAAGGTGATGCCAGTCTGAAATGGCCCAGGCTGCTCTGGGTTTGGCCCACACAGGCTACTCTTTCGGCCCACACAGGCTACTCTTTCTAAGCAGGCTTCAGTCTTGCCTGGACAGTGAATGTTGAAAGCACCTTGCAGTGATTGCGCTGCCCAAGGGGCCACCCCGGGGCCACAGTAGCTTCCGCTTGATCCACATCTCCGATCAGAATCCCTTAGGGTCGCCTGTGGACAAATAGTCCTGTGGCTTGTACCCTCAGCCTTAGCCAGACGTCACCACAAGGGTGTCTGCCCCTTTTCCTGCTTATACCTTCCGAGACCTGCCTAAAAGCGACTGACCAGAATGAATTTCAGGATGTAATGATCCTTTATCTTTAAAGAACAAGTAGAAGTCACCCCTGCATATTATGTCATCTCCACAATACTCCTGCGAAGTGCTCCCATTTAACCAGGGCGGCCACCGCCCAGAGATGGTAAGTAATTTGCCCAAGGTTGCACAGCCAGTAGATAGCAAATGTGGAACTCAAATGTAGTGCTTTTTTCACAGTTACAGCTAACAGGAACCATCAGGCAGAGGGCTCTCAAGAAAAAGATTTTCATAGGAACATTTTTTGTGCCTCAGATTTCATCTGCCATTTTTAGGGCAACCATCTGTCTGAAAAATCTAAAAAGCCAATTTAAATGAGAAAAGGTGCCACCCTGTCTGGAAAGAGGGCCGGGTAATTGTTACAGATTAATGAAGTAGCATTGAAACAGCCATAGAAAGGAGCTGAAGAGTACACATGAATTTAAGAACTAGGCTTGACCCGGGAATCAAACCCTGAACAGAAACAAATTGTCCTTATCCCCAGATTAGCAGTCTAGAAACTAGTGATTCATAAAATCTGCTGTTTAAACAGGAAGGTTGCCAGGAGGGGGAGGAAGGGCCAAGCTGACTAGAAAAGATACAGCAGCATAAAAAGAGAAGAGAAAACACCACCAGGAAAGAGGCAGATGGCACAGGTGAAGAAAAAGAATAGAAAAACAGCAGGAGAAAGATGTCATGGCCATGGAGCAAAAAAAGGTAAACCACCAGAATCGGCTGTTGGAACTGAGAAACCCAGGGGCCACCCCAAAGGCAGATAGGGGGGCAGCGCACTGGCATGGATGTACTGTTGCGATGAGAGTTTGAAAATAGCATGGCCCCTTTGTCAGCTCTGGACCTCAGCTGGACTCGGAGTGCTGGGGGGGACTTTAAAATGGTGATGGGCTAACACGGAGCCTCTATGGTATGTCAGCCCAAAGAGCTCAGCGCCAGGAGCCCGACAGAAAAGGAGTTTGAAGGAAACGTGAGCCTCTTGGTTTTCAACTTGCAGGGCAAGGCAGCTCAAGGTAGGCGAGGTAGAAACCTGAGGTTCTGAAGTTTACGGCAAATTGCAGATTTGGGTGAGAGGTAAAGTTACCAGAGCCGAAGGAGACAGCCAGGGATAAAGCAGCGGGAGAGGACTTAGGGCAGAAGAGCCGAACAAACTGCCTGTTGTCAGGAGCAGAAGAATCTCCCCCAGGTAGCCTGACACCCGGTGAGCTGGCTGGCAGCCCGGCTCTGAGGGTCAGCAGCTGCCCGGATCCCATTCCTCTGCAGAGGTCAAGTTCCTGGCTTTGCGCCTGGTCAACACCCAATTCCTTCCAGTTAGCAGGAGTGGCTCCAGAGTCACCCAGTCCCTTCCCTGGGCGGGATGGGAGGAGGCCAAGGGCTGGACTCATTAAGTAGAAAAAAAGCCTAAATCAGAAGGACGTTTGCCCTTAAGAGTCCCCAGAATGCCAAGCAGCAGTACTTTGACCAAAGCCAGAGGCATTGGGTAAGACCTAAGTTAGCGTCTAGGCCAGTGAGAGAGAAGCAGTTCTGGAGAATAAAAGGAAGAAAACTGAAGTTGTCAGAGATACCACTTTTTAAATAATCTTTTCCAGAGAAAAATTCTGACTGTCATTACAATTTCTGGCAGAGCAATCGTTTTGAAAGCCCCTCCCCTGCCAACCCTGGTTCACGTTTCCCAAAAATATTTCTAATGCCAAGACCTTGGCTTGTAGGAAATTCACTGGAGGCTCAAAAGACATAAAGGCAACAGGCCCTGTATCAATATTTGTGAAAATTGCTGTCTTAACATGGTAGGCAAAAAAAAAAAAATTATTTTTACAGGATGAAATTAGCTTTCTGTGAAGCAAGGGAAACAATTTAACTTTCAGGTGGTTCAAATAAAGCATGTTTCACTCAAAAGTTTCTCTCTATACGCTGGACTAGACCTACAAAGTAGAGTAAGACATTTCTGCCTGGGGGAAAAAAAAATCATAGTCTAAAGAGGACTAGGAGGCGGAATGTTTAGGTAAACCAATAATTACCATATCTGTGACTTCTGAACTGGCTTCTTAAAGGATTGAAAAGGAATCCTGGAGAGAGGAGAAATGAAAGCATTCCTGTTGGGGCGGGTGAGCGGGAATGTGGACGCCACAGGGACCTGCAAGCAGTTTTCCAAAGCCAGCACCCAGGGAGGGGCGGTGGGCCAGAGGCTGGGCCCAGTGCAGAGAGCCCTCATTCGCCATTCTAAGGAGTATGGACTTGGCCTTGACAAATATTCCATTTGCGGGTAGCTAATATGAGGAGAGTGGACTTACTCTGGTATTTCCCAGAACCATAAAAACTGAGGGGAAGCCTTAGGACATCACCCACCACATCCTCACTAGCTTCCTCATACACCCCCGGCCTGGGAACCAGAATGAAAGTACAAATTTAATACCTGTTTTCAGAAGGCTCGGCAACTCCCTGCCTACCCAACCAACTATCCTTTTTTTTTTTTTTTAAAGACTTCCTCTAGTTTAAAGAGCTTTTCAAAGATAAGGATGTCAGAGTCCTAGCTGAAAGGCGGGCTCTTGGCCCAAAGGAAAAGGAGTGTGTTTCCTTTGTTCCTCCCCTTGTAGAGAGATGCCAGAGGAAATCTGGGTCCGAGACTGAGCTTGGCATCTTGAAACAGCCCTGGGAGAGCATGCGCCATCTCCAGCCTCTCCAGTGAGGCCTCGGGTCCCTTCTTAATCACTGAGGAGAGGCACCAGGCTCTTAGTCACCAGCCTAAGAGACACTGACGTTTAACCCTTCACCTACTGTAAAGAGAAGCTAGGTGGGTTTGCACAGGGCCAGAGAGATGGGGTGTCTTTGAAGATATTTTGAAGAATATCCTGGTAGGATAAAGTGATCCTGCTGGATGATGCATTTGTCTGCCTCCCTGTTCTCCATAGGTACCACATCTAAATAATGGGTGAGAATTTCCATTTATATTGTGTTTATTGATAAACACAGTATGTCTTGTTTACCATGACCAAATTTCATTCTTAGGAAATTCATTTCCTGGGAAAAGAAATTAACCACTTCTCTGTTTTTGCTTCTATGTACCCGGAGGCATGAGACACTGGAGCTGGAGTCTGACCTGCTTAGATCCAAACCTGCACTTGCCCAATTACTAGCTGTGTGACTTTGGGTAGTTATTTAATTCTCTGTGCTTCAGTCATCTCGTATAAGATGAGAATAGTAATGTCTGCCCATGAGCTTGGTAAGAGAATCAGGTGATGATACTGTATTTAATAAGCTCTATGCTCAGTGTCTATAGAAAACACTCAGCAAATCTAGTTGGTGGTGGTAATACTTATTTAAGATAATGATAACTGTTCCCATGACCACTTTGGGAAAAAATAGTAGTTTCTTATTAAAGCTAAGTTTCATATAAAGCTAACTGCCTTAGCAATTCCACTCCTGCGTATTTATCCAAGGGAAATAAAGTTATATATACACAAAAAGAATAGTAGGAGAATATTTTTAGAAGCTTTATTCATAATAGCCCCAAAGGGGAAACAGCCCAGAGGTCCATCAACAGGAAAGTGGACAAATGCTCTGTACAGTACTCATACAGTGGGGTGCTACTCAACAATTAAAGGAACAAACTACTGATACATTCAACCACAAGGAGAAAGCTCACATGTTGAACAAGATCAGACACACATCAAGTAGCACACAGTCCATGCATATGAAGTTCTAGAAGGAGCAAACCAATCTTTGGCAGAAAAATCACAACAGTGTTTGCATTGAAGGGCAGGGATTGCTTGGAGGGGCCTGAGGGAACTTTCTAGAGTGATATTAATGTTCTGCATCTTGATAAGGATTTGGGTTACACAGGCTTATACATTCACCAGAACTGCGTGGTACACACTTAAGTTTTATGTGTTTCACTGTATGCAAATTTTATTTCAGTATTTTTTAAAAAGAAATTATAAACATGTATTGAACTCTCATTAATGCTGAAGTAGGTAGAGAGATGTGTCCTGACATTTAGTTTTAAAATGCATCCAAAAAATAACATGCACCAGAGCATGCTGGGTGGATAATACATGTATAGTAAAATGTAACTGAAGAATCTAGGTGAGATATACAAGTGTTCACTGCACAATTCTTACAACTTTTCTGCATGTTTGAAAGTTCTCATAATAAAATGTTGGCAAAAAATCTCATTCACCAAGTTTCCTTAGCAGTAAGCAAATGACAACACCAACTTTAGTAAGAAGTATTTCAGATTCATTATTTCTCATCATTCTAGTTTAGACATTATTCCTTAGAATACTGTATCTAGCATTTAGGTCATATTTAGCAAATAAAAATTATCATTAATAAAAGAGTATTACCATATATCAAGTACCTGCTATGTATCCAGCACTGTGATAGCAGGTACATTAGATGTATTATTTCTGATCTCCATCATTGGAAGATAAGCAGATGTCTCCATTTTATAGGACATTGAAGCTCAAAGATATTTATTCACTCTAATACCTA